GCCAAGAGGGATGCTGCCTCTGAGTGTAATACCTGCAATAAGTGGGTGCACAGCCAGTGTGATGACATACCATACCTATATTACACCTTCATGGCTCACTACCCATGCACGTGGTTCTGGTACGCCTGACCACAGCACCGTATGAGGCCACTCTTTTCTAAAGGCTCGCTGATGGAGGTCGCAAAAGGCATCACAGTGACTACTGTGATGCCGGCACCCACACGGACCATTACCCCAGGCCCAAGCAGCAAGAGTGTTAGCACTGAACCCTGGCCAGTCACACCGGCGAATAGTCCGAAAAGACCAAAATGACGACCGGGTACGCGACCAACTACATTAATCCCTAACCCTGAAGCCACCTCAACGGCTAACGCCACTGTACAGCGGGATAAATGGGTGACAGTGGAAAAGAAGGTGCACCCTTCCCACAAGAAACCACCCACGGTACACGAAAAAAGAGAAGCTGATGACAAGTCGAATTCCATCATCTTATTTAACGTCCATCTGTGCCATGATAGACTCCTTGAGAACAGAGAACCGTTTAACAAGCAGCAACGGGAAACCGTACGCGCCACACTAGGACTGGGTGGCCTAGAAGCAAAACTATGCAGGCTCTACAAACGCAGCTACCCACCTCCGGGAAAGCCTTCGCCTATGAGAGATACCCTAAGCTCTGCCAAAAAAGCGGAAAGTTTCTTGCTAGTGTCACACGCACTAGCCATCAACAGGTCACCCAGCATTAGAGCCAGACCAGACCGCCCTTGGTACGCAAGAGAAGTATCTCGCGAGGCGCCCCAAACGCTGAAATCAACAACTACGGTTGTCCACGGCATACCAGATTTGAAAACCGGCACAGTCGTAGAAAAGTATGCTTACGACGTCCAGCAGTGGCAGTGGTTGTCAGCGAGGATGGGGTAAGATGGGATGGCAGCGGCGGCGGTCTGCAGACTGCCAATTCCCTCACCTTTGACGATGATGACAGCACCCCGGTTGATGGCTGTTAACTTCGGCTGTCAAGAACTTTAACCAGTTTACGGCAAACTCGGTACACAGTAAAAGGTAACATCGGTGGGAATGTTCCCTGCTGTGAAAGTAGACCCAGAACACTGCGGCAACAGCAAACGGCAGCACCGCCCACCGCTGAAATCACCACCACCGTCAACAGACAAGATACACAGTCGAGCCTGGGCTCTATGAAACCCCCAGAAGCCATTGTGGGAAAAAACGTGGTAGGGCCGGTTCCACTGAAGCTGGCCATCCTATAGCAGGTTTCGCCACCACGCACGACTCCCTCCAATCTGCCAGTACCAAGATACCCCATGTCGTTAGAAACATAGCCAAGTGTTTTTACAGTAATGTGAACGGATTTAGATAAGGGAATTACGATTTCTGTGTTCCTACCTTGCTTAAATGATCATAATCCTGGTAGAAACTTGGTTATCGCCGGGCATTATCGACGTCGAAACTGGTATAGACGGTATGCGTCTCTTCAGGAGAGACAGGGAGTTTAAGAAAGAAGAAGGAGTGGCGATGCTTATAAGTGATAACCCTAAAAGTGAACGAGCAACTGAAGCTCTCCTCTCAAGGCTGCCAGACTCCATCTGGTGCCAATTTAAGATTGGACACACCAATTACTTGGTAGGAGGCATCTACAGCAGCTTGGAAGATAACCGACAACTTTTGCAAGTAATGTCCCGAGCGACGTCCGTCGGATATGACCAGGTCATTATAACCGGCGACTTCAATGCTCTGACTCTCAATCTGGGCAGGACAAAGGGACCTCAAGCAGAAGGTTCGACCGAAACCTACTCAATACTATCAAAAAGGCTGGGCTGCAAGAGAATATTGGTGATGACACTCGCTGGGGGTCGGGCGGAAAGCCGTTCAAACTGGACTACCTTTTTACCAGTGACCCACTGCTGGTAGAAACTGTATAGCTTCAAATCCCCCTTGGCGGCATCGATCACGAGTGGCAGTGTTCGATCTTTTACCCAACGAACAACTGTCATGGGAGGGATCCCGCCCTTATCTGCGCCACAACAAAGCGAACTACGTGGCGATGAACCGATATCTGTCGACAGCACGTGGCCGCAGGAGTGGAGCAACCTGCCCGATTGACCAATATTGGGAACTAGTCAGAGATACCATCAAGAGGGATGTCTCTGAAAACATCCCAGTAGTCGCAGCAATACTGCGGAAGTCAACCTCACGGCTGAAGCGAGGCACTGAACACCTTTTGAAAGCCAAGAGGAAAGCATGGCACAAGTGGAGGACCCCCAAAAAACGGTCTGATCACACCCTGCATAATGCCCTAAGCAATCGATGTAACATTAGAGTGAGGGGAGACAGGAGGTCATTCCAGATGAACGTTGCCCAAAAGCTAGAGGAAAATCCCAAAAACCCATGTCGGTTTATGGCAGGCAGAGAATCCACCAGCCAGGGGGCTTGCGTCCTGAAAGGCCTAGACGAAGAGAAACTCTCCGGACTAGAGATCGCCGGAGCCTTCAGCGCCACCTTCGATACGCAACTCAATACGTCCCTATCGAACCAAAATTACCAACTGTCCGACTGAAATTCAACACCACCAAAAGCAATAGAGTTACCTAGAATAAAGGTAACTCCTGCTATGGTCCTCGAAAAACTGCCAGGGTTCCGCGCAGGGAAATCACCAGGGTGTGATAACGTCCGGCCGGCTGTGCTGAAACAATGCGCGGGTGCCTTGTGCGGTCTGCTACGCAACTTGTTTCAACACTCCTTAGACAATCACACGCTTCCACAAGAGTGGAAAAGTGCTATTGTGTCCTCCATCTTCAAAGGTGGAGACAGGTAGAGCCCAAAATGCTACCTGCCCCGTAGCCCTTCTACCAGTGGTGTCAAAAGTAATGGAGAGTCTGGTAGATGACCATGTCAGGGAGTAGTAAGAAAAGAGAGGGACACCAAGTGATGCTCAGCGTGTTTTCAGAAAGGGTAGGTCCTGTGCCACAAACGTTCTAGCGGCAGGTGATAAGTGGACGGCATGCTGGGACCTCTAAGTTCCTGTCCATGTTATTTTCCTGGATTTTACTAAGGCCTTCGACACAGTTTCACACACCGTTCTTATTCACAAAACAGAAAGGTTGGGCATCAAGGGACAAGTGCTTCCATGGTTGCAGGGCTGTCTAGACGGTAGACAATTCTGTACAAAAGCCAACCGAGTTTGCTCGACTTGAAGGACATCATCATCTGGTGCATCACAAGTGGCGATTCTGGGTCCACTGCTATTCCTTCTTTTTGTGAACGACCTCCCAATGAATCTCAGCTCCTCGATTCTACCCTACGCTGATGATGTTAAGCTATGGAGAGCCGTGACGTCAGAAACAGAATCAAGTGCACTACAAAGTGATCTCAGATTACTTGCAGAGTGGGTGGATATTAGTGGACCTGCATTTAACCTAGATAAATGCCGAGCCATGTTCTTCAGCACCCAGACTCTCAGAAGGTACCCTATTCTCTCTGTGGAACACAACTTTCCCACACCACCACAGAGAAAGACCTAGGACTAACACTAACTGACAAACTAGACACTAGCCCCAATTATCCAGGAGATGCATCTAGAGCCCACGCAGTACTGCACTTCATGCGCAGACAACTGGGTGCCCTGACCCCGGAACTCTTTTAGAAGCCGCATAAGACCTATATAAGACCCCACCTAGAGGTACACAACGTCATTGCACCGCCAGATCTGAAAAGAGATGCGAACCTCCTGGAGAAAGTCCAAAGGCGAGCCACAAAGGGTGTCGTGGGAATGAGGCAGAAACCATATCAGGACAGGCTGAAAGATCTGGGGCTGGACTCCCTAAGCTACCGTAGATTACGCGGTGACTTGATAACGGCTTACAAAATACTCAGTAACCCAAGTCATCCGAACAGTGGAATCCTACCGAACGGCCACTATGGTGATCCTCGTGGTAACCCAAGGAGATCGCCCACCAAAGAGCGAAAACCCGTGTGCGATCACACTTCTTCTCTCTGCGAGTTCGCGGGCACTGGAACGCATTGCCTGCCAAGATCGCTACTGCTCCGTCTGTTGATAGCTTCAAGAAGAGGTTGGACAGTTACGCAGCGACGCGTGGTTTGCGCCCATCCAACTGGGATGTGGACTAGGCTAACACGACTAACTAACTCGGTACGACAAACCGTTACTGAACACTTTGTGAAACCACTATCACTGAGAACTTGGCTCAACCTTATACCTTCCTGTAGACGTCCCCTCCAGTTACCGTCTCCTACTAAGAGAATTACTATATTCCCATTCGTCCTATCATGTTATTTATATTCTTCCATCAGACTTTACGCTCTCAAACTTTAACAAGAGCTCTCCACATCACATATTCCCCATGAACCTACCAGTGTGTTATTCTTCCGTGCCATTTTTTTCCCAATCTTTTTTTATATGTTCTTCTTCCTTTTTCCCTTTTCTTTTTCCCATTTTGTCTCTCTCTGTACTTTCTCTCCTTTGATTTCTCTGCACGTATTTTTCATCTCTTTTTTACGGCCAGTCGGACCAATTGTCTTCTGGCACGACATTTGGGGAACCCGTCTGAACCACAGTCCTCGGAAGAAAAAGCAAACAAACAAACACTCCCTACAAATCTAAACAACACCCAACCGCCCGTCGGGCTAACCGGAGCTACAGCAGTCGAGTGGATAGATTGCTTTGGAATCCATCAAAGACCCGGAACCGTTCTGCAAGACCTAGAAGCGAGCGAGAAGAAATCAGTTGGTTTACACTAGCTCGTTAAAAGATATTGAATATTGAGCTACAAGCCGCTTACTTCAAGACACTGCGTTGTTTTGTGATGATTCCCAAGGAAGACCAGGAAAGCCTATTGGAAGAGTGTTTGTGCGTTGTTAGACAACATGCATGCCAGATGGAGTGCTCTCTAGTAATTGGTGTCACTTACAAAACCTACCTTTAGGATAAGCATTATCTGGTCGACGCTATTCAAAATGCTGCCAATATGGTTTTGGAGATGAAAAACTGTTCTTTGTCACCAAAAGCGTATTATGAACTTTGTAAGTGGTCCGCCATATTTTATAAGTCTTTGTCACCAGATATGGTCGTTACGGACAAACTTCGTATTCTTGAGTCATATCTTATCGAAGAACACAAAAACGGACGAAAAGTCTTGTATTTGTATGAAACTGTCCAGTATATATCAAATATTCTACCTAGATTGTAAGTTGAAATGTTTTCAGTTAGCAGTGTTTCCATATCTGCCATCTATTTATGTGATGTCATCATATCATGTTTGTATTTTATTGGACAATCGTCATTTCTGTCTGCCTTAACGATTATTGCCTCAAAACTTCAGATATTGGGCTGATTCGGAACCGTTCATAAGTCTTTATACATGTAGTATTACCTCAGGACCCTATACGAGACGTGGGATCAACAGATGGTCAGGTTTGACCTTGATGCGAAAAGCGTTGAGGTAAATGTACCTTTATTATACGTCACCTTTTATCCCTATTACACCACTGTGAGAAAGATCTAGGTTGTTGCTTGTTGCCACATATTGGTGTTAGAAATCTGTTAAGTGAGGAAGTATCATTCTAAGTCTAGTAGTCTTATTAAGTATGAAAGAGTTAATTTGCTCAGCAGTAGTCGACATTTTATATCTCGAACTTCATGGTTTGCAAATTTATTAGAAGCTTACTTCGCATTAATGTAACCCTGTTGGATGTTTTAAAAGTCTTCACTGGTGTTGTGATTTGGAAAACTGCTATGCGCTATGGCTGTTAACGATGCACGGATATCGAATGTCAGTCACCAACAAATTCCCAGTTGTTTCCCGACCCGGCTAACTAATGGATAAGATTTAATGGATGTTTAGTAACGTATATTGAGGTTGAAAGACCGAAGACCAAAACAAAGGAGAATACAGGTAATATATAGATAGTTCGCCGTTCAAAAAATTCTATTGATTGACTGATCCACCGTCTGTCTATCTAGTTATAGAAGTGATAACAAAGTACATTTTGATTGGTCTTTCTCCAGGCTAGTCATTTCTCTCTATCTCCATATCATCTGTTAAAGACATTAAAGGGAACTACTGGATACCCTATGACCGTAGGTGAATCCGGTAAGTATAGCCAAGGGGCATTATTTCAATTAAATCTTTCAGTGCTAATTGACACCTACGTCTTTTTATTGTGAATGCACATAAAACGTATGTACTTCTGATGGTATACCGGTTTATATGGTTAGGAAACCCTAGGGGGTGTTTGTTGACCAGCCGCAGCTGTTTTGGTTTATGGATGGTGTTTTCAAAGGCTTGTAGTGTTTAATCCATTCTTAGCATTTGGCAGTGCTTTTACCAGATGGTCGTCATGATTTTTCGAACTACTTTCATATACTAGTCTTCATAGTTCAAGTCTAAATCTCAGTGGTTAGATACGTTTTCATTTCTTAGCGTGCAGTGACAAGATGAAGTAAGGACATAAATGATTAAATTTGGACGGTTATTTGTAATTGTGTTGATTATAACGAGGACTATCTTTTTAAAATCAAACATGATGTTACTCATAATCATTAATTCATAATGTGCGGGGATTACGTAGAAGCTACAAATTCAATATTGTTGAGGTTGTATTTCAGTGTTGAGTTAATTAAAGATAAGGACTGAGCTTCTGTAGCTATAAAGGCGTAAAGTCAGTATGGTTAAAAATTCCGTTTAGTTGTAATAGTGAGAGATTTTTTTCAGTTTTTGAAGGAGAGCGTATAAATTTTTTTTATCTCCTGGCTGTTAGTAAATACTTATTGTTACTCCTAGTTTTCGACTTGTTTTGCAAGTCCCACGTTTTTCATTAGGCAGACCACGGCAAGACTAATTCGTGAACCAATTAACTATCGATATAAATAGTATGACCGGCAGGCTGATTGGGCCGCTTGAGATGAGTCGAAATCGGTAATACAGATACAACCGCACTTCATCTTTTGATATCCTTAAACTTCTCATCTTATGTTTGACATCATCTGCCTTCGTGTCCTTGTTTATCAAACTGTTTTCTCTGCTTTTTTATTATGCTTATTGCCAAACCTGACAATTTAAACCTTTTTCACTGTATACGCGTCTACGTTAATGTATGTTTGTATTTGTGTTTGTTGTTAAAAGCTTTATCTACAATAGGAACTTGAATTTCTCTAGTGTGGTTATGAATAGCTTCATCACTGAGTAAACATGTGAAATGCTGCATATAAGTATTTACACGTATTTAGCGAGTGCACCCTGGATTTACAGTTGCATTCAGTTAATTGTCCCATTTTAAAACAGCATATTCAAATCCTTGTAGAGCTGTGGCTTATCAGTCCAAGCAGTTGATTTTTGGACACAGGTTCATGGGTTCAAAGGTTTCTGTGCCTACCTAGATTCAAATAAAAATGATCAGTATATCACTACCTTGGTAATGAATGACTTTATTCTTAAGAAATACCCACTATTACTTCCAAACACAAAAGATACTTCTACGAAACACTGGCAGGTGAAGCAGAACAGGCTGCAGGTAAGAGAGACCTGACAACATTGTATCAAAGAACCAGGTTGCTATCTGGGAAGAGATCAACACACATGAAACCAATAAAAGATGATGAAGGAAATTTAACTACGAAAGAAGAGGAACAAAGTAAACAATGGGCTGACCACTTCAAGAAGCTCTTGAATCGACCACCACCTGCACTTCGTCCAGAAATACCACCTGCGGCCGCTGAATTACAAGTGAACATAAATCCTCCAACAAAAGTGGAAGTCCTGAGCGTCAAAAAGCTACTGAAGTGCGGGAAAGCAGTAGGACCAGATGGAATCCTGCCAGAAGCACTGAGAACAAACACAAAGACAACAGTGGACATGCTGACACCATTATTGCAGAAAGTCTGGAAGGAAGGAAAGGTACCTGGCGATTGGAAGGAAGGCTACTTTGTCAAACTCCCGAAGAAGGACGACCTAAGCTCCTGTCCACTCCAAGCAAAATATTAAGCCGCATCATCCTGGAGAGACTAAAGGATGCACTAAATTCAAAACTACAACCGGAACAGGCTGGCTGGCTAGCTTCAGTAAGTACAAATCATGTGCGGATCAAATTGCAACGCTGCTCATCATCATAGAACAGAGCATAGAATGGCAGTCAACTCTACACCTCAACTTCATCGACTTTAAGAAGGCCTTTGACAGCGTTGACCGAGAAGTAATTTGGAAACTGCTTCAACACTACGGCTTTAGTGCCACAAACCTTTATCAGCCTCATTCAACAACTATATGAAGACGCCACATGCCAAGTAATTCACAGTGGAAAGCTCAGTGATGCTTTTGAAGTGAAGACAGGAGTGAAACAAGGTTGCCTGCTATCATCTATTATATTCCTGATTGAAGTGAACTGGATCATGCAACAAACAGTGAGGAGCGAGAAGAGGGGGATACGCTGGACCGCGTAAAAGGACCTAGAAGATTTGGATTTCGCCGATGACTTATGTCTAATGTCACACACACTTGAAGATCTGCAGGCGAAACTAACAAGTTGACAGAAGAAGCAAGGCAGCGAAGATGGGATTTCAAGTGGACGTAGAGAAGACAGAGGTAATGAAGATACCCAAGCAACAACAACAGCAACAACAAGCTCGAATCACCATGAACGGGAGAAACTTAAAGGAAGTAGCCTGCTTCGCCTATCTAAGGAGCACTGTTTCAACTACAGGCGGCACTGACGAGGATGTCAAAGTCAGAATCGGAAAAGCAAGACAGGCGTTCATTAACCTGAAACCAGTGTGGAGATCTTCTGCACTCAGTATGTGGAAAAAGATCCAGATTTTCAACACCAACGTCAATTCACTGCTCCTGTATGGTTCTGAGACTTCGCGCGTTACGAAAGGGATTTCCAACAAACTACAGACCTTCATCAACAACTGCCACCTACGCTGGCTCGTTACTGAAGATCAGATGGTCAGAAAGAATGAGCAACAAAGAACTTTGGGAACGAACTAACCAAGAACCTATCGCTGAACAAATATGCAGAAGGAAGTGGAGATGGATTGGATTCAGCATACACTGCGAAGGCCGACTGGGGACATCACGCATCAGGCCAGGCCGTCGAGTGGAACCCCGATGGGAAGCGAAGAGTTGGGCGTCTGAGGTGAGGGTGACATGGAGGAGATCGTGCGAGGAAAAAATGAGAGCTTGTGCGCAGTCGTGGAGCCAGGTTCAAAAGATTTCAGAGAACAGAGTAGAATGGAGACGTGCTACTGAAGCCCCATGTTCCATTAGAAACGCAAAGGACAAATAATAATAATAATTACTTCCAAACTCCTTCAAACTTGTATTTTTAGTATGTGACTAATTTATTTGTTTTCGGTTCATAATTTCCACTGTCACTATACTTCGTCTGCATTACTCATCTGTTTCGCAGACAGCTTTTCATGTGATTGCATAACTATCTGTTGTAATGTCTAAGTTTCTTTGATCTGTTCCAGAACATTCGTATTCCATTTTCGTAAATGCGTGTCTATTTGAACTGAATCTATGTGAGACATTTATCATGTTGTCCCCCATCCTACCTTCTCAGTGTATGAACTAATACCACTAGATCTTATATGTATCTTAACATTTGTATATTGACCATATATATTGCCTACATATAATGACCATAAATAATGAACAGCCTGGTAAATTAAATGGTTTTCTTTTATTCTTCAGCTGCTATTCTCATTCAACTATTTAAGTCAATGAAATACGAAGGATTAGGCAACCACGTGGCATCATCAACCCTTACTGAGTAGTGTGTGAATTTACACATAATTGCTGAGCTGTGACTTTCAAATCTTATTAAACGACATATTAATGTATACCGCCATCTTTTGAGTGCTTCTTTTGATTAACACTAGCATGTACTGTAGAAAACAACCAGAACTCATGTCATTTCCTCACATATTAATGGTCATACATATTTTGACAAGACTGAGAAAAAATGCAGTAGTTGGCGTTGCTGTACGTAGGTAACTTATGTGTGTGAACGAAATTCACCAACAATGTGGCCCCACTTTCTTTGAGTCTGAATAATCGGTAAACTGTTAGCACCAAACATCTCACTTTTTAAATGGACTTGGTTTTGTGAAGTTTGGTGCAAAAATTTCTTTCTCAGTTCATGACTCACGTTTTTCATATTGACAAATTTTCATCAGGGAATATAGTCAGAAATATGTTTCATTGCTTTTGGTAGTTTGCTTTTAGCTAGTAGGTCATGGGTTTAAACCCTGCTTCATCTACCGAGATTTGTGCAGCCAGACAGTATGATTAGGCCTCACACAATAGATGTTGCTCGTTGCCTAATACATTATGTAAGGGTTGCTAAGAAATCCACATTACTCACCAAGTTAACTGGACCTAATTGTTGTTGTGATTCCATAGTCTATATGATCAAATTTCAACTGGTCGGTCTTAAACCTGGATCTGATCTCATGTATTGACATCTGGGCACCCACATAGTATCATTAGCCTTCAACGGATGTCATTCATTTTCTGGCGAACGAATCTAAACTTGTTTGTTGAGTTGTATCAGTCAATGTAATTAGTAAACTGAAAATAGCCTGCTGATTTTTTGAAAAGTTAAACAACTAAACCTTACTTTACATACCTGTACAATCAAGTGATTATTTTAGATTTATAATTTCTTTTGTTGAGAAGAGTTTGAATCGAATAAGGAGAATTATAACTTTTCAGCTTATGCCTTCTAAAAAATGCTTCGGTGATACTAAACACAAGTGTTTGTGTTATAAGGTGGAAATGGATTTATTACTAAGTAACACATTTACCACTAGCATTTAACATTATTATCATCCTTTGAATGATTAGACTGATACGTTCCTGGGTATTTAATGAGCACATGTTTTTGATATGTAGTTCTATATTTTTGAGTTGTATTAATTGAACCCACTTCCGTAGAAACATGTGATTTAAATTTGATAATGATGATATCATACTATCGGTCAGTCGAAATCCATTCAGCAACCTTGTGCAAATTCGTGCAGTAGGCAATGAAGGCTAATGATACAGTCTGGCTGCCTAGACCTCGGTAAGTGGAGTTGGATTGTAATCCGTGACTGATACTGTGGTTTATAAGTACTACTAGTTGCGTTTCTCATACAATCTTTTAAGGAGTATTTGCTGGCTGTTTAAATTCTCTTTTGGCTTAAAAAATGTTCATTATTTCCCGTAAATATTTCAGGTATTTGCTTATTACTGTTGGAATATATCACATTAAATGTTCAGAATTATCACGGCGTGAAATTCTTCGTGATCTGGTGGAAATGTGTTCGGGTGTGCAACATCCTACTAGGGGTCTTTTTCTGCGGAGTTATCTGTTGCAATCACTACATAGTTATCTTCTTCCAGATATTGAGGTATTACTCTTGTTTTTTCCGTGGTATGCAGTTACTATTAGTTTCATTATATATATATATATATATATATATATATATATATATATATACTCACGCAATCCGTAACAGCTATGTACCTTATTTTCATCACCCTGTGCGAAAGTGAAGGTGTACGTCACTTACCGTTGTAGTGAAAAATGCTTATAAAAATCCATGTAGTAACGTTGAAAGTGATAATGATCGATTGTTGAGAAATCAGACGAAGAGTACACACAATATGGAATGGCAATATGAAGGTCAAGAACTGGGTGGAATGACATGCATATCAAGAAATGATTTACAGGTGGATAAATTATTACTAGGTGTAGTAACTTGATCATTATCAGTTATATTTTCTCAATGAACAATTTCGGACGCTCGTTATTAATTCTCTTCACTGTGTTAAGCAATATTAAGAGTGGCACAAAGTAACTGAGATCACTTAGTAATATTAATATGTAAGGTTTGATCATAAATTCACCATGTGTGTTCAAGTGTGTGTGAAAAGGTGAGAAATGTTACCATGGACTTTGCAGTTTTTGAGTAGATAACGAATTGGCCATCCTACACGTTTGTCCAAGTCACCTAGTCGTATTCAGTAGGTTTGAACAATTCCGTTCTGCTGGAGATTTTAAGCCTCTTGTTATGTGAGAATTTGGTCACTGTACATGTGGACTCACTTCAGAGGTTGGCTTCCAGCTGACAGGTATGTCCTGTGCGATAACTTAAGTCTGGATTAGAGAACGATTTCACATGACGACATCAATAGTTATTCACCTCCTGTGACTCGTTTTTGGAAGCAGTAGAACGCAAATCATTGCTTCCCAACGTATTAGCTAAATACAAAATATCCACCGTCAGAAGATTTTAGACTGTATTTTGTCGTCACCTTAACCACATTTTTCGATCAATGTTTACCACAATCCCATCTTACGCCTTGATATGGGTGTGATAACCACTCAGTAGTATTTCGTAGTAAGTAGAAGTCAGAGAGAGTTCTTGCTTCATTTAATCCGAGATGTTTTCGTTAAACATACTTGTTTACCAAATAGTGGAAATCACGTAAATCAACAACCAGAGATTACTAGTCTCTAGTAACCAGTGTCTGTAGCAACCTTGTAAATGATATTCTTGTGCTTGAGGTGGTGATTTCATCGGAAAAAACAGTTACTGTGATGCAAGTATACCCACCATTTAATAAGATACATATCTTTGATATCATTCCATGTCATTTCAAAATACTAGAATATAGGTCGTTTTCATATTTGGATTCCGATTCGTGCTCATTTAGTGTACTTCTTTCCCCCTCGCTCTGTCATCCTTCAGGAGCCACCGTCGACACCTGTACCGGTGATTTCAACAAAGGATGACGATGGTGGTGATAAAAATGATGTAAATTTGTTACTGGATGGGAGGAAGACAAATAGTACTGGTGAACAATGCGTGAATCAAAAAGCAAACCCCATTTATCCACAAGGAACAATTTCTGACAGTATCAGTTTTCTGTTATTTAACTTTTCGGAAATGAATAAACTTTGGGTACGAATGCAGCATCAAGGGCACACTAGGGATCGTGAAAAACGCGAACAAGAACGCCGAGAATTACGTTTACTTGTTGGTGCAAATTTGAATCGACTATCTCAGTTGGAATCAATTAATGTCGAGAGATATAAAACAGTATGTTTCCTAAACCTTTCTTTACCCGTTTATATTTTTAAAGCTAATGTGGGTCCAAAGGTTATTTGATCAATAGTAACAATAATAACTGCTTTATTCCAAACAATATGTATGATGCAGTATGGAATTCTCAGCATATAGTCTTTCAATAATTATCACTTGTTTGCAAGTAGAGTTATGGATGAATATATGGTCTGATTTTGCGTATGTTTTTGGGTCTACTATGTGTTACCGCTACAAAATTAATTGGACTCACAAAGTATATTTACCTGAGAAACTTATTCTAAACGGCCACAATATTCTGTTTTATCTACGGTATTCAACTTTTGTTTAAAACGGATTTTCCCATAGTGAAGTCATTGTTAGGTCGGTAGGGTGAAACGTCAAGAAACAACGGACCTAGATGTTTCGTTCGCAGAAGTACGCTCAGCAACCACGTGCATATTCGTGCAGTTGACAATAAGTCAAACCTTTTGTATGAGGGCTGCTGATGTTACGTGGCTACCTAGACCTCGGTAGGTAGAGTCGGGTTTGAACCTGTGACCCATTGGCGAAAAGTTCGCTGGTTAAATCAATGAGCCATAGCTCTATAGGTCTAATCGTCAAACTACCAGCTACTGGGTCACAACTTTGAACTCAACACTGTGCATATGTTGATCTATACAGCTCTTTAGTACCGCAAATTGTCATATTAGATATGCTCATGTTGTAGTACATAAACCTTCACCAGATTGCGCTGTTATATTATTTTTATTATTATTCGAAACAAATAAACTTTTTTGTGTATATTAGGAAGAAATATTTATAATTCTATGCACACTATACTGGTGTATATTATATGGATCTTAGTAGAACAGTACAATCTAGCATTTTATTTCTCATATTTATCTACCATATTAATGCAGAAAGTGCAGCTTATTCCTATGCGGCTGTTGACTATTATCGGTGAACGATGCATTACATCGTCATCAAACCTTTTTAATGCTTATCAGTTCGGGTGATGATTGTGCTTAAACTGTAATGTTTGTGCAAATGGAAATACTGTATCGTTATGTACTTAACTGTGAACTAAACTAGCCAGATAAACTCGGTACTGTAGCTCACAATTTGATGCCGTTGACTCACTGTGACCATATATTGACTATCCCAAGAATTGATTGCATGAATAGCAAAATGATTTACTGTTTGATATCTGACTGCTTGTTTTGTATTTCTCAATCAAGTTAATTAGTGAGATATAACGGTTGCTTATGGACAACCATAAATCGATTAGTGAATAGTAAATCGAGAGTGATATAAAAATTAGTAATCATCCAATAAATTCTTATCAAAAGCTGTATGGCTTCAGTGTTATCACCTCTAACAGGTTATCGTTATTAGTTTTGCTGGTTTAGAGTTTGATCTTAAAATCGTGAAAGCATATAGTATCACTGCGTAATTGTGAATCTGTTTCCTTGGATGTAAATCTGTAGGCTGCGTTCAAGTAAGAAAAAAAATCTATCACCTCCTAATGCAAACAAATTATGATGTAGTGCAGTTCACCACTCTTTACTAGTCGATATGGGAATATATTTTCTTAGACTACAGTATACACACTCCTCAATAGGATCAGAAAGCCATAGCTTCATAATTTACTACTTCTAGACTTGAATTTTCTTTCTTTGGGCTTATGTTTCAAATTTGGTCACTCTTTGATGTTAAATTGGTACTGTCACAGTCTCGAAGTTTCAGTTCAATAGACGTAATTGAAAGTACCCCTCACCGAGTTAGGCAATCATTTCTTAACGGTAAGATACTATATTTGAATTCCACTCCACTTAACTTGTTTCCTGTAACCGAATTATGTTTTTAACTATCAGATAGGGTACTTTCGGCTTAAAGTGAAGTACGTTAACTTGTAAGAACCCAGTGATATACTGAATAATGTATTCGATTACTGATAATACGTTCACTTAAGTTCCACGAATCCTTGGAGGGATGAAACAGCAGCTTATTACTATAAGTATCTGACTCTTAGTCATACAGATAAGCAGCATCACTGACCTTTACCTCACATGTTAGGAAGTCATCTACGGGAAGAAATTTTATATCTTTTAGTTAACTGTGGCAGTCGAAACCGTCCCAAGCCAACTATCCGATCAGAATAAATCAAGGGTTATTCAAACTGTGACTAAGAACTTTTGATGTTGAAGCGTCTATAGGTTTACTGGACACTGTAGACGTATCTTAGTGACCAATTTCAGCTAGGGTTGGATCTAGATGTAAAGATTTGGGCTGATTAACTCTAAAATATCTTTTTGTTGGTACTATCTTGATAGCATACGTCAGTATAGCAGTATCAAGTCTGTTATGAAATTTCTTGATTTCACTGCTAACCAATAAGTACATCAAACTGGCTCTGTTATTCGTTTATTAATAAGTCTCTAACCAAGTATACTACTGTTTATTTGTCATTTCTCAATTGATTTTTGTTTAGCAAGTACTACCTCCAGTTTTGGAGCAGATAATTGAATGCCGTGATGTTATTGCACAAGAATATCTCATGGATGTGGTTATACAAGTAAGTTTGCTTTCATTTTTGCAGGTTTGTGGGGATAGATTGGTTTCAAGGTGATTGACTGTGAATAAATGCTAAATATACGCAATAAAACCCACAGTAAAACTTGATGGTTACATTTTTTGGCATAATATACATTTATGTTTAACATACATTCAAAGTGCATAACTAATTATGAGCAGCTGATATACACTACTATATCGATTAAAAACTGATAATATGCACTTTAAAATTAACCAATACCCTCAAAGCACTAACTGAATTACTGTCCAATGTTAATTATTGACTTGGTTTGCGAATTGTAATGCGAAAGATAATCATCAAGGATAATTTTTGTTTTCGAAGATATTTCTTAAGGTTGTATCATTACATTTATAAGTATTTGAAATAAATTTCAGAAATTAGCCGCTTATGGTGATACAACAAAGAAAACCGGAAACATCTAACCGAATCACTGAAAAGGATAAAACAACAAGGTTTCATTTCAGAAAGCACATTCGAAATGCTGAAACCTATTGGAACCGTTACACCTAGACTTTATGGTCTACCGAAACTGCATAAAAACGGTCTACCTCTACGACCAGTTCTTGACATGACTAACTCTCCGTATCATACAAGCCTCTCCACAAAACAGTTGTGAAGTACAGTCTCAAAGATACCTTTGAATTTGTCAGAAAGACTGAGGATCTGGAAGTAGATAATAAGTTAATGATTTCGTGTGACGTTTCATCTCTTTTTACTAACGTTCCTTTAATGGAGACAGTAGACTTTATTTGCAACGAACTCACGAAGCATGGCATAGAAATAGATATTCCAGTCTCCATATCGAAAGAACTACTTCTGAGGTGTACGATGAACGCACAATTTCTTTTCAACAATGAACTCTACCGGCAGTCTGATGGTGTTGCTATGGGGACACTCCTCGGCCCGCTCTTAGCACATTTTTTTCTGGCAAAACTTGAGAATGGTCCACTGAACGATACTATTAGCCGTTTAGAGTTATATTGTCGTTGCATGGATGATACCTTTATAGTTCTCAAAAGTGAGACTGATAAGAATGCTGTTCTGAATAAGTTCAGTAGTGTTCATCCGGCAATCAACTTCACAATGGAAGAGGAGAAAAATGATAGTATCCCATTTCTTGATATTCTGTTAGTAGGAAGGTCAGATGGAACCTTGAAGCGAAGTATTTATAGAAAGCCAACATCAACAGGTCAATATACGCACTTCTTTAGTGCTGTACCCCTCCAATACAAAAGGAACCTAGTGAAATGCTTAGCATACCATGCCTCAGCTATTTGTTCAGAGGATGCTACAAAGAAGGAGTGCCCCACCATCCCTGACCTGCTTAGTAGGAATGGCTAACCAGACAAGTTTGTAACTAAGCACATGAATATTACGAGAGTTAAGGCAACAATGCCAACAGTTCCTAAGAAGCAAATCTTCTTGAAGCTGGAATTTAAGAGTGATATTGCCAGTGAGATCATCACACAACGCATAAAAAGAGTCTTGCATAAAGCATTCCCAGTCGCTATATTATGTCTCGCCTTCTACAACCACACGATTCTTGGTGCAAGAAATAAAGACAAACTGCCTGATTCTACCACTTCTGTGTGCATTTATCAATTCAATTGCTACTGTGGAGCGAGTTACATTAGGCGTACAATGAGGCAGTTCCATCGTCGAATTTCTGAGCACCACACATCATGGTTGAACAAGAGACAAATTAGAACTATAAAGAGCTCCATACTTGCACACTTAGTTGACACAGGACATCAAGTGGTTACTGGAAAAGCCTTCAAAATTATCCATCAGATTCCAATTAATTTACCTCATGGATTACGCACTCGGTTACTTCACATAGGAGAGGCAATCGCAATCCACCTTTGCAAACCTAGCCTTTGTATGCAAAAGAAGTTTGTTCGACCACTTTCATTACCATGGCTGTCAACATGATGTAACTTCTAGGTTTATTTTGTGCACCTCTTCCCCTTCTTGTTTCTATCAATATTCATATTTCCAACTTTACTAACTCTATTGATTATTTACACCATTATTTCTGAAATATCACCACGTGATTGGTAATTTGATTAAATTGTAAAACTATATTAGTGTAGAGCAGAAGAGGAAGACCTAATTGAAAAGGAATATATTTCTTCGCTCAATCAGTCTTTTTCTAAATATCTAAATGGAAATATTCATTGTAAATAAAAATGTATCGATCAATAAGGTGGGTTTACGTGAAAGCGAATAAAAAGTTGTTACCGAACTTACAGAAGTGCATGATTAAATGAATGTAATCAGAAATGTAAGGAGTTTAGCAAGATCGAAAGCAATTTAGTCTGAGGTTCGTGGGATTCATTTGTTTAAAGGTAGTATTCATTGAAACTAACACCAATAAAAGATCCAATGGAAACTCGACTGTTTCGTCATAGAGTGGGACTCCTCAGAAGTGTTCATCCATCACTCGGCCAGAAATTGAACTCAAGACCTTCAGGTCACTGTGCGCACGTCACCACTCAACCACTCGGACAGTATCGCATGGTCTATAGTTGCCTACTTCTGTCAATGCGCTACTGTCGTCCAAGGTCATAAGTTGATATCCGTTTCACTTCCAACTTAGTTGATATCATAGGCCACGTTTTCTTCGAATTTTGGGATATCAATAAATACGTCACTGGTGAGCACTAAATAGCACTTAGTATTAGGTTCATGGGGGCTACTTATTTAAAAGAAATATTCATCGCAGAATGACATTGGGTGGGGAATCACTGAAGACTTGGTAGCACTGGACAGCTGCTTCGTCTTCACATTTCGGCCCAGTGGCTGAATGGTAGCGCGCTCGCCGCAAGATCTGAAGGCCATGACTTTGATCCCCGGCAGGGTCGTGGGTGTGCACTACTGTGAATTCACATACTAGAACGAAATATCTGTTCCAGATCTCCCAGTTTTTCATTGGTTCGGCTGATGTCAGTCTGTGATGAAATACTACGTTGGAAGATGAGAATAGTTTTTCGATATTTAGTGAAGCGGTTCAGTGTTCACTTGACAGATGAAAAGAGGCGGAAGAAAAAGACAAGAATCCTGATGTAAGCGGTGATCGTGAGCTAATCATTGCATTGGTGGATTGACAGTGTTTTTGCTATACCACTAGTTACAGAATCGCACTCTTTTTGAACTATCTTGTCTAACTATACGTAATTATAAAAGAAGATTCCGGTGGGTCTACGTGACCTGATCTCAAGGGTTGAACTGTTACAGGACTTACACTGACCTTTTTATAGCTGTATGGGATAATGTTTAGAGATTCGTTTGGAGAGTGTACTGTTTTCAGACCACATAACTAACTCTATAGGAGCAAGTAAACTTGTAGATGCATATTGATTTGACTCAGAGCGGCATTTTGTTGTGATGAAAGTGTCATCTATATATCTTTTATGCAGATGAATATTCAATCGTCTTGCATAAAACGTCATTGTCTTGATTTGCCACAGCAAAATCTGGTAGTGGGCAACTACATAGTGACGTCATTCCTACTTCATCTTTTTGTCTGTGAGATGTATTACAAAATTTGAACTCTTTCAGTAGAAAGAATATCTCAGTAGTAGTTCATTCATAAACTTCATTTAAACAGTTATATCGAAATTATTTTCTTTAATAAAGTCCCATAAAACAATTTGTTTCAGTTAGCAGAACGCTTTGGAAAGAAGTGGGGTAACTTACAGAAAAATCATTCGTTCATTCGATACGTTGACATTAGCCGTTGAATTAATGAAGTCAGATGAATTGGTAACACTGGATATTTACGAATAAATAAAACCCACTCAGCAATCTCGCGCCCATTCGAGCTGTTGGCAACGAACCACACCTATTGTGTGAGGGTTATTGATACTGCCTGACTTTTAAAACCTTGGTAGTTTGAGCGATGCTCCAACCCACAACCCTCCGGCTGAAATTCAGTTCTCTAAACCAACTCTATACTGAGTATTTAAACGGTTAGTGATAGGTTGAGGAATATCAGTGAGTCATTCGGTGACAGCATGGTATCGTGGGCTATATATACCTAAAATTAGGCGGGATGGTACATCTTTATGCACCTCTGGAAGGTCATATAATTGAAGAACTGCCAGTCAGAGAGTAATCGCTGCTCAAATAATCAGGAACTACTTATCGATCCATTCTTCACTTTCTTGCAAATCGCAGTGAGCAGCTATTCTGTTTGATAATATACATCTTTCTGCACAGTTTCTTCTGAAATTTTTTTATCTGATAAGATTTTAGAAGCGTAGTCGAGGCTATGCATGAGAATAATTCCAATATACCTATCAGGACGAACCAACAACACATCCTTATTCTTCAAGGTATTAAGTTGTTGTCCTACATGCTTCTCTGACAAAAGCCACTTATCGTGTGGTTTCGTATCGAAGTGTTGCTGGCGGCAATTCAAGACCGATGGTTTGAACTGTTCAAAATTTTTATTTGAGACTGGTATGAGATCATTCGTTTGGATTGATCATTTTTTGAAATTGAGCTTTCACATTGAGACTGATAGCATTCGTTAAAGTATCATAAAATTTCGAACCAAATATAATGCTTACTTTAGAAACAAAATGAATGATATACTGGATTAATTGAAAACTTTCTGATGTTTCGGGAAAACGTGAATATTTGTTTGTTAGTTAGGGCTCTTTATTATTTTCATGCTGTTATCTTTAGACAATCTTTTTCAACTGTTTTCCAGTTTGTTTTCAGTTAGTTCATATAAAGCATGAGTTTTTAATGAACATTTGCTGTCTGATTCTGACTTTCAAGAATCTTTTGTCCTCTTGAATGTTGTTGTAATAACTTCAAAGCAGAGAAACCCTGGATTTCTCTTGAGCTTGTGAATGATTGTTACGCTATATCACCAAATAACATAGGTGGTAAAGAGTGAATCACTGCATTCCAATCCAGCGCCTAAATAGTAACGTGCTCATCACGAGAACTGACAGTTCTAGTGTCGATCCTGCTCAGGGTCACGCGTATGCGTTGCTGAGGTGTCCCAAACTAGGAAACAGTTATCGAGTACTTCTATGTTTTCATTGGTTCTACGTGCTATATCATTTCATATGAAAACCACTTGAAAATCGATCATTCTCCATAAAACACCGATGGTGTATGCACTCTTTTCACTAAATTTATTTACTGATGGGCTCATTCACGTAGGTACTCATCTTTCAATCAATGGGTCACTAGTTCGTACATCGATATATGCGCTGAGGTTTGAGAAATCGGTGTTGCTCACAGTGTAGCACTTTGACCTGAATATCGTTGCTTCGCTGTATTTCTTGAATATGATTGAGATACTGGTTACTAAAGTAACTTCAAGCCGGTTGACATAGTATGTATGTAGTTAGTGCATTATTCCAGTACAGATATAGTGATTGGTTCGAGCACTTGTCGAATCATGTAACACTATCAGTTTCTTCTTAAGCTTAAATAATAAATCATACTGTTATTGTATAGACATAAATAGTAAATATTTCTGTCACTTGTGCAGTAGACCCATCTATCACAGAGTTGCTTGGCAAGTGTAAAAATACTTATTCAGTTGAATCCATGTCACCGGAACTTAGTCAGCATTGAATGTTATCGTATATTAAACTCTAAGTATAAACTCTACACTTACCAACACGTTTCGTAGAAAGTAATCATTGGTTTTATGGCTTCGTTCCATATCCTTATATGGGCGCCTTAATGTAAAGATAAATTCTGAGGCATCACACCACACCTACCAGATACAAAAGATACACCAGAATTTCTCTTGTCTTTTGAGTCATTCATTCGGTATACTCTACTTTTTGTCAGCATTACATCAAGATAATATTTTCTGAGTATTTCCGCTAAGGATCAACTAGAAGAATGCGAGGATTTTCACATGGGAACGTATTTGTTTTCAAAATTAATTTTATTTAATTTTTCCGTTTAATACCATGCAAATGTTTGGTGTATTTAGTGGACTACTTTTCTATTTTAATATTTATATTTTATAAGGTTTTCCCTGATGAATTTCATATGGCCACTTTGCCTTTATTATTGCGTACCTGTAATCACTTACAATCAGGTGTGAAACCGAAACCTATTGTTTGCAGTCTTATTGATCGGTAAGTCGGAAATTATGCTTTATTGTTAAAACATTGCTTATTATTGGGTAATACGTTTAGGCAATTTCCATTTATCATTACTATTGCCCTACTGATACTATCATCCTCTTGGTTGGAAATAGAAACAGTTGATTGATTAAACCTAAGCAACTGGAAACTTTGATCGACCCAGGTTTTGTGCTTGTTTTCACTCACTAGCAAGTAATGTTTGTCACCTCAAAACAGTCGATGGTCTATCAAAGTCAAACGTACATCGACTAATAGATAAGATATCTAGTTGAAGCAAGGTTTTCTGTTGAGAAAAATATCCAAGGTGGTCAGATTAAAACGTTGAATCAGTCTGTGAAATCACTGATTATTGGTGTGAGCCGTATAGAGAAACATAGACTTCTGGGTTAGGGTCTGCATGACAACCGAAATCAGTGGTTGGAGACTAACTGATACATTCAGGATCGATGTAGTGGCCCAAATGTATCTACAAATTACCTTCATTATAATCATACCATATTTTGTTCATCATCTTAAAGTCGGTTTGTATGGTTTTTGACTTTCCATTTCATTTTCTTTGCATTTCTCTCTGTTGTGATGTACTAACGTGTAATATGACAGCCTAAGCCGTTACTCAGTAATGCCAGGTCCCATTTCGGGTTCGAGCCCCGCTCAACCTACCAGGGTTCGGGAAACGAGGTAATATCACTAGTCTTTACACAATAAATGTGACTCATTGCCCTCTGTATGGATGTGTGCACAAGGTAGCTGAGTGCGTCTGTTGCCACTTTGATTTCAGATAATTGAGATATTTTTTTATCTTATTATTTGTCCCTTGGGTTCCTAGTGGAACACAGGGCTTCAGTAGCACGTTGCTATTTCACTCTATTATCTGCAGTCTTTTTAACCTGGCTCCAAGACTGCCCAGAAGCTTTCATTTCTTCCCCATATGATCTCCTCTATGTCACCCTCACCTCGGACGCCCAACTCGTCGTTTCCCATCTGGGTTCCACTCGAGGGCCTTGGCTTGTCGCGTTATATCCCCAAACGGTCTTCTCAGTGTATTTCTAATCCAATCCATCTCCACTTCCTTCTTTCGCATATTTGTTGAGTGATATGTTCTTGGTTGGTTGTTTCGTTGCCAGCCAGCCAGAGTTCCTTGTTGCTTATTCTTTCTGGCCGTCTGATCTTCAGTATCGAGTGGGCGTAGGCGGCAGCTGTTGATGCGTTTTTGTAGTTTGTTGGAAATGCTTTTCGTAACGCGGAAAGTCTCTGAACCGTGTAGAAGCACTGACTTGACTGACTTAGTATTTTAAATCGGGATCTTGTTCTTTGCGCTGAGCTCAGTGCAGTGCAGTAGATCGCAATACTGACATCAGGTTAGTGAAAGCCTGTCTTGCTTTTCCGATCCTGGCTTTAACGTCCTCATCTGTGCCACCTCTGGTTGAGACGAATTGAGATATAATGTACTGTAATATTGACTGAGTTAGCTTTTTGGCTATATCACAGAAATTGATCGATAGAATTTGGTTAGCACTTGGACCATTTGACTTACCGTCCAGTGACTGATCGATATAGGAAGGGTTGATGCTATTTTTTTTCCTCTGTTATATGAATATACTGTATTTATGAAGTGCGATGAGAACCTAAAAACCAGATACATAGTCGAATATGGAGACAGTGATCACTAACTTACAATTGATAGTGACAAAAATCAGTGAATCTTATTAGATGCTAGACGACGTATTATGACATATTTCAAGCCCAAAATGGATTGAAACAGCGGAAACGTAGATCGGAAAAAGCAATGAGGCGTCGTTAAAAGACCAGTGGAAAGGGTTGAGATTGAGGAATGTTAACCATGAAATTCCCATCATTGTGTTATAGTAGCAATATGCTCATCATAAAACTTTGGCATCCTGTGACTGCTCCCAAAGGATTTCCTAGTGGAAAATAGGTACTTGGCTTTCTTTTGTTTTTAGTGATTTCTTAGCCTATTTCAGATGATAATGAAATCTGTCAGTCTCCCAAATCTGACACGAGTGAGTTTTTCTTAGATCTTTCAGTAATCTGAAGATTTGAATTATATGGATAGGTAAGTTTCTTAAGTTGATTATGTCTTCATCTAGGATATTCGATGATATTCCACTTTCACAAACCTTACCTGTAAAATTGGAGATGTCCTACTTCTGCTGTCCTAGTAGCTTCTGTATAGAACTGTGTCTTCTCATAATTTCTGGGTTGAGGAAAGGTGATTCACCTATCACATGATGAGTAGCTTTTTTACAGGTCACACATAGCTCTTTCTAATGAATGCAGAAATAGCATAAGAATTAGATCAGTGACTTTATTGACTTCTTCAGACATCATTCTATGTTACTTCTTAACTTTCTTCGCCATCTTATACAGTTTTGTCAATAGGTTTTAGTCAGCAATAAGGGTTTACCAAGTTTTATAACTTTTTCTACTTTTTATTGGCCTTAAGGATTTATCGTTATTCTGTTCTGGTTTTTCCTCCTTTATTTTGAATTAGCTTATCCAAACATGCAGCAACCGAGTTAGAAGCCGGTCGTGAACTAAAAATCCAAGTATCATGTAATAATTATTCTCCAATGAAAGGAACTTCCCTACGTAATCATAACAATAATGCAAACGGCGATGAGAATATGAACAATCCCACTAATAATGAAGAGATTACATCCCAATCAGTATGTCATGCAGATGAACTGAAAAACTCTGATCAACGTGATAAGTCAGAGGACAGGTTAAAAACGGCTAACAATGCTGAAGCTAGTGCAACCGAAACGACTACAACAGATCTCTTCTCCTTATTTTTCGTTGAAGTTAGTCAACTGATTCATACACGTTTAACACTATGTGAACTAACTTATAATAATCTGCAAATGTCATGTGGTATGAAAAATCGTCCTACTATACAAACAGCAGCTATGATTAATGGCTTACCGTTAGAAGATATTCCAGCATTCTATTCAGCTTTAGTTTATCTAGCAATGATAATTCGTCCGAATAATTGTGCATCATTAATTGATATTTGTTTAAATGCTACAGCGGATGCACTTCATCATGTTGGTCTTGTTCTGTAAGTTTGCTCACTTTCTGGCCTCTTTTAAAATATTTTAGTAAAAACGTAGTTGATTGTTTGTCATTTTGACTATCTGAAATAGCCGTGGTTTGACAGACTACTATTTATACTGGCTGATGATTGAAGGTGAAATGAAAATTTGGACCGCGGCCGGATTCGAACCAGCGACCACTGGGTTTCCGGCCCAACGCTCTACTAACTGAGCTGTCAGTATAAATACTAGCCTGCCAAACTACGGTTATCTCTGTCAAAATGATAATCAATATGATGCTCCCCCTCTCATTTTAATTCAGTTAGATTTTGATTGGGATGAGAAGCCCTGACTAGGCAGCAACCAATGTCAATACGATCAAGCAGTAGTAGCGCATCACGAATTCACATGGGTAGTCGGGTAAACATTTTTGGTAATTGAAGTGAAATAAAAATCTAGTCAGCAGTGAGGTCTCGTAGCTCAGTTGGTAGAGCAGGGGGCCGGAAACCCGGTGGTCGCTGGTTCGAATCCAGTAGCGTTCCAAATTATCATTCCACTTTCAATCATCATCCAGTATAAGTAGCTGAGTGTATTCGAATTTTCTTAATGTTCAACTGACTTGTTCGCATTCCGAGAAATGAAACTGGTAATGTGATTGTATTAAACCTAGTGTTTGTAAGATTCTCACTTTTCGACTTAAATGATTAGATACAGTACAATTTCGAAATGCCACCTTATATTTCTTTGAAAAGTAAAATATTCAAACCATCAATTACAGTCTATCCAGTAATTAACGTTAAGGAAAATAGTGGAAAAACTACAGGGTTTATATTACTAACTGACATAGGTACTTGGAAACCACTCATATCAGTCGATAGTACTCGCTAAGCAATTTGAAGCTGGATTAGAAAACTGAACAGTCATTTTTTTTCGTTTATAGTACATTAGTGATGTATTCAGATAGATGCAGTTTAAGCACTTGAATCTCAAACATTATATTTTGACTTCAAGTCGTATTTCATGTACTTCGACCTGGGCAACCAATTCATATCAAAGGCACTCGTACAGTTAGCATTATTCACAGCCCAATGCATAAATCTGTACTAGTTAGGTAATGTTTCCCACCCTAAACGGGAGAAATATCTGTCTAGTGTTTAGATCATCTCTTCCTCCTTAGGGAGCACTAATCATCAGTGTGCTTGGTTTCGAACTGCTGATAACAGTAAGTAATATACGGTATGCAATGTAACTGAGATTTTGTATTCACTTATGCCTATCAATAGTATGTATCACCCCCAATGGTTATTTTAATAGTGTCAAACAAATGACACCTTCTGTGATTTAGGCATCCTTTTGTTTACAATGGGATTTAACAATTGAGTCTTATCTAACAGTGTAGTTCTTTTGTTTTGAACCATGGAAATCTGGGAAACACTTTTTTTCAATTATTTTGTGTTGGTAAATACTGTTATTTCTCAAAAAATTCAACATAAAAGTGCCGTAAAATGAAGTATCATCAATCTTAGTGTTTCGGAGAATTTGAACACTTGTGAAATTTCAAATTTGACTGCATAAACTCGCTATCTGAATAGGTAATCCTCAAGGTCTCTTAGCTAAAGCAAGTACGCATGAGTTTTCGGTCTGTTCATCATCATGATTACGGATCGATAATAAACGCGTTGAATTTCTTACTGCTTTTTCCTCTTTGTATTTGCTAATGGTTAGTTTGAAATCGGACTAAAGTGAACGGTGATTAGTTTCTTGTGTGTCTGTCTAAATATAACATATCAAATTATATCATGTTATTAAATCTGAATCTTATCACTCTAATCTGTCGGTTTTGGAGTTCGTCTTTTAAGTATATATTGTTGGAAACTACACAACTGTATATATTTACCATAGATGCATGAATGCTGCAATTAGCAGCCGATTTTACAATGAACTCATCAGGTTAAAGAGGTACAAAGACCGTCAGTGATCTATAATTGAATTGTTATAAGTCCTGGAATAGAGTGTGCTTAGTCGCATCTATATCATATTTGTATGAATGAAAAGTGTGAGTCTTATAGTGTACATTGCACAAAATCAATATTTATACTTTTCTAAGCACCATTTAGAGGAATAATTTTCAAATACCTTGAACAAATTCTAACCTTCTTGTTAGTTTTTAACTCTTTAATTCAAATACTTAGTTTTTAGTCAATGGGTTATTCGTTAGAATTCCATCGCACTTATCAAGGCGCGTACAGTCAGGCAGTTTTTTTTAGCTATTGTTTTAGAAGTGTAGCTCATAGTCTAGTCTTATATATATATATATATATATATATATATATATATATATATATATATATATATATATATATATATATATATATAGGCTTGGCTTATAAATACGTGTATCTATCTGTACAGTTATTGTTAGACCTAGTCTACTATAATAAGATTACGCAAAATCGGTTTCTTTAACACTGAACGACAGCAAAACTTTGATTGGATTTCACAGTATCTGATTTGATTGAAGTTTTTTCCTAGATATGTGCATAAAACAACAGCAGAAAACAAAGTATTTTACACTATTCAAAAATCTTTTTCATTATCTCCTAACTTGATAAAGCAGTGTTCGATAAAGAATGCTACTTAGTCGTCAAAGATATATTAACTAAAACTTTATACATTCACAGAATACCATCTGGATCTTCATTATCTCGTGATTTACTTCGTTTACTCTACCTACCACTTGATGGTACATTCCCACAGTCACTGAGCGGTGTTCATCGTATTAATGCTCCACTGACAGCACTTAGCGACCTAAGAACAGTTTTAGGTATGTCTGGCTTCCGACGTTTGGTTGCATTATTGGATCCAAAAACTACAAAATGCCGATTAGCCTATGATTTGTTGAATGCTGCACTGGAACGTGATCAACGTCAAGTAATACAATATCCTCAAAAATATCGTCATGATTCAAATAAAGACTCATCAGTAGTCAACTCATCTACACTTTCACCATCATTCTCATCACGTTTGACTACTGAAACTGATTTAGACAATTTATTTGAACTGATCGATGGGTTGTTGACAACTGATCCAAACACATGTGAAGATCCTAATGAATTTGCTGAAGCGCAAAGTTTAATAGCTGGTATGCTCCATATTCTAGGACCAAGTCCACAGAGTTTGGATCCAGATATGTGCTTTAAATTGTTTACAAAAGCTCAACAACGTTTAGAACAAGCTGGACATGCTCTTGTTCGTTTCAATTTTCCTGCTCTTGTATTTCAGGTAAGAAAATAATATTTAAATTGCAAGTACAGTCTACGATCTTTGATTATATTATTTCCACGTATTCCTGTTGTATCCTGACATACTGACGTAAGATATGGCATCTTTGACCGTTACTGAGTAAGATCGGACCCCATGTCGATGATGATATTGCCTGACTGATTCTTTCAAACATATTCCATAGTTGATGTTGACATGGAAGACATGAGAAGGTTACAGGTATTTGACCACCGTTGCCTTCGTAGTATAGGACGTATTCCGTGGTGTCACCATGTGAGTAATGCAAAAGTTAGGTGTAGAGTTTTGGGGAGAAGAGGTAAGTCAGTTGACGAGGTTGTGAACCTTCATCGACTGAGATGGTTGGGACACGTACTACGTATGCCTGGTCACCGATTGCCTCGTCACACAATGTTGGCTGAGGTGGGTCCAGGCTGAAAAAAGGCCCGAGGTGGCCAGACCAAAACATGGCATCAATGTATGAAGTCTCTGACTGTTGGTTTAAGCCATGTAGGAAGATGCAGACTAGGTGGTTGGGGTCCACGGGACAAGAGGAACCAGTGGTTGGAGACCCTAGGTGATATGGCTCAGAACCGAAGTCAGTGGAGCAGATGTGTACACACATTATCCTCATCTTAACAACGCTATACCGAATCTCACCATTTTGTCACTCCTCTTTCTTTTCTTTTCGTACTTTATATTTCTTTTGACTGCATTCTCTTATCTTCATCCTTCACCTCACTACCTTTTTACTTGATGTGCTGATATGAGGTGTGGCAACTCGGACCGTTACGCAGTAATGCCTGGTCCTATGTTGATAATGATGATGATGATGATGATGATGTTGACGGAGTTGAGGAGGATAGGTTATGTCTGATTGGGTCTTGTATACTACTGGAAACATGTGGGCAGTTGCCACTTCCGGGCTCCCCACACCTTGGAAGTCTATTTCTCCTTACGGTACGTGAAAAAGAGAAAGAATTGTGGGACATCTGGTTGAGGCCTGTCACTCAGCCTTTTGCGAGATGCTGTCCTGACGTTTGTCTGTTCTAACGCCGGATAGGCAAAGCTCCATAGCGCCGTCACCGGAAGACCGCGCGGCATGGTGGAGTGTTTTATTTTGGGGGCCGACCTTTTCTGACCCCTCTTTCGTTGAGAAGGCAACATCAGTGTGGCACTTTTGGCCATCTGCGGGAAACACCTTACTGCTGCCACATTCCATCCAGCTAGCAGCAGTACGACTTCACCCTCAGACCCTCATCACTGTGTAATGATTTCCACTGCAACGGTAACTGCTTTTCGTCTTACCACTATTCAGCAGACCTTTCTGGCGTGATGAGACCTCGATGGAACAAGCGTTACAGCCAATGTACCTTGGTAGGTCATTGTGATATACAAGACCAACCACTGCGTTAAGGCAGCGGCTATCGGTCGGATTTGATGTTGACGGTGAAGCACTACTGCATTCATTTGCTGATTGTTTTAGATGGGTGTATGTAGTGGAATTTTTCAATAATTCTATTTTGTTTTGGATTTTTCACATGAATTATTTGGCATCTCAATATATAGAGTATTACTTTCGCTCATATTTGTGCATCCTAACCATAAGAATTACTCACACGTTTTGTTTTAAACAAGTTGTGTTCCATGGTGATGTAACATGTCTAACGATGTTAGTCAAGATATATTTAAAACCATGTAACTTGAATTATCACTGTTGTGTACAACCATACAACTCAGCAGTAAGTGAGTCCTGTATTATCATGCGTTAACATGACATGCATTGAGGAAACTCTGTTAGACCGTCAGATGGTGTAATAAATAAAAAGATCATTGATACTGTCAAATTTGTGTAAGTTTTGTAAAATGCCTTTTTTATACTCTTAGTCTACCTACTCTGAGGTAAAGAATTGAAGTTGTAAACATGGCAAGTAGAACTTTTTATCAAATATTTGTTTAAACGATATGACAGTAAATAATAGCATGAAATAAAGTTTGTTCGGATTGAGGCTTGTAGGTTAGTAATACATTTTTTAAAGTGCAGATCGTCCCTATATGAGGTTTCCACTCATTGGCTTACTGGTGTTTTGTGTTCCTTACGGTTTGTCTCTGTGTCTATCACCCCTTTCTAGTTATACTCTATACTGAGTTTAGATAAAGAATATTCGTTATTATAGACCGTAAAATTCCTCGATATTTGCGGGTTCATTCACCATTATCTGTCTACTGTGCATTTCAGTTGCTTTCACTCCTTATTATACTTGCTGAAACTATGTAGAGGGATAGATGTACTCATTGTGGGAGTTTTCAGCGATTCCATGTGAATATTTATTACATTGGTACCTTTAGTCTTCTGATAATGACTTCTGGTAGGATCTTTTTATCTTTCAGCTGTAATATTACTTCGCAAGTATTTTGTATTTGTGACAAATCTACTAAGGCTAGTATAATTAAATGGTGAATTATATTACTTTCAAAACACTAGCATGCCTTGAGTCACGTTGCTAAACGTACTTCAAACATCTTCAATTTTTCTACCAGTATTACCCTAACCATTGTCTTATTTAGTAGTCGCAGAATTTGGAACGCCTAGACAATTAAATGTACTTGCAACCCAGTAGGTGCTTGTATCCCAAGTTGCATTCGAAACAGACACTCATTACCTCAAACGCTAGGTGTTTATCGATTCTTTTAACTAGTGAGTTATTGTGGCCATTTATTGTTTTATGAAAACTAGGTTTTACTAGATCTAAAGGTTTTCTGTGGCTCTATCGTGGCTCGGTGGTGTAGTGGATAACGCTCACGTTTGAAGCGATCGCTCCCGAGTCCCGTTGAAAACAAGATCACTCACTGGGAAGCAAGTACATCCAGCTGACGAGTCCCAAATAGGACTAAATGCGCAGCCTGGATTACACTGCTGGCCACTCTCCGTCATTACTATACATAATTAAAACACAGGATCTTTGTTTATGTGATTAATGTTGAACATATATAGAAGGACTCATAGTTTCCTCCGGTCATTTGGGAAATTTTATAACCTCTTCAACAAAGGAGAAATCAATGGTAGAACTTTAAAAACGATGTCTCAAATATATCAATTCACGTCGATATGACTACTGATAATAAATTACAATATATTATAATCATATTGTCTCAGTATTCATTGTTAAAATCATTTTTATTACTTCCATTCCAGAGTCTTCAGTTAGTGCAAACATACTATGAATCACGTGAACAGAATCCGAATTGGGAGGAAAGTGTTACAGTTGTTGTACAATTTTGTCATCGTTGTTGTACGTGTTTAGTAGCAGCAGACGCTTCTGAATCGGCTTTACGCTTATTTCTCTATTCAGCTTTGGTAATTGATAAAATACAGTTTAAAAATCAAGAATCTATTATCTATGAATTTATTTCACAGGTAAGACTTATAAATTTTATATTGCCCGATTTTCCCTGCTGAAGTAAATGAGGTATGAAACCGGCACTCATATAATGCATAGTGCATATAGGGTGTGTTCTTCACCGTAAATCTTTCCACGTATAAACGAATCTTATCGGGGGCTTAATTGTATCCGGTCTTCGATATTAATTTGAAATCAGAATTTACCATTTCCTTGAGGTAGACTTTGGCACTGGATAAACATTTTCATCATTCTTTATTTGTGAACGCACTTTAATCGTGTAAAGGTACTGTATTGGGCTTCTTTAGCAAAGTTTATGCATGAGGTGGTTCTATGAAAGGCAAACAGAGTTCGGCCAACCTTTGCACATTCCTAAGTTGTATCAGTCAATGGAAACCAAACTTCTTGAGCTACCAAAACGTTTTCCACTGTCATAGTAATACTTTTTCGTATTCAGATCCTTTTAGCCAGCGACTTTGTATATTTGACTCCCATGGCATAGGTGTATTTGATGGTACAATTTATGAACCTCAGACTGGTTATTGAAACTTGTTATCGTTTTTTATAGCTAAACATTTTGTCACTTTGGCAGTAAGTTTCGCATGCGAAAACCCTGAGTTTAGTGCCAAAGAGATGCTTGAAATTCATTTTATACTTCTAAAATTGTAAATTTTTGAATTGATTACTGATTTTATCACAGGTTGACATCAGCCTGATAGTTGTGGTTACTTATATTACTTTTATTTCCTCTACATCACGAACGCGCTGCATACTTCTGCTTCTCGTGTCAATCTTCACTCCTAACTCCCTACGAATCTCGGTTCTGAATACTGTTTGCTATAAACATTTGATCACAAACAAGAAACCTTTTTCGGAACCACCTCTCTCCACGCCGGTTTGAAAAACTAAGTGTATTTAACGCATGCTCCCCCCCCCTTACGGTCAGAACTGCTCCAAATTAGTTTTTATCTATCAGTGAAATGGCTGTCCTTGTGTGCAGTAAACATACTGATTCTCATATGTATGCCTATTCTCAAACAGATCGCCTAACTATGTGATACTGCAACAAAACTTAGTTTGATCGGGAAGAAAGATATTATGTCGTGTGGAATACTAACTTATTTGTTGAATTTTATTCTAATGTTGTTCTTTTACGACTTTTGCAATAATGTTCATTTCTTGACCGTCATTCATTACTGGTGCCACTTTCAGACTCATTAGCTGTCTCGTCACCTTAGCTAGTTTGCTGATACTCATAAGTTTTTCGAAGTTTACTTTCTGTGGCTGCTGTTTGATAGCTACAGGCAAACTTTAGATAAACCGAGAAGCTAGCATTTGTGCTTGAGATCCTTCATTCCAGTTTGGCATTGCACGACATAACAGATTTGTCACTGTGACCCCCAATACCAGTGGGTCGCCATCTGTCCCGAGCTTCGTGCCACGGAATCTCCGCAAGACTTTTTGTCTGTTTGTCAGTCTACCAATTTATGACCAACCGGTCAACAACAATCTCCCATGCCTTCATCCCAGTATCCGTCTGCATTTTGTTGTACACCACCTTTGCCTTCAGGTTCTGGGCGTCCACCAGCTCTGCGATGACCCAATGATCTTGCAGAAAGCTCTTCACATCCACCATTCTCGAACGCCTGAGGTCATGGTAACTTTATCTTCTCTGAAAGCAGCGACATCAATTGTAGTAAATTACACTGAGTTTAGGTAAAATATGAAAAATACACATTAGACATAGATATTGCAAATATTTTCTGCATTCTACACACGAGATAGGCTGATTTTCAATTCCAAATGCTTCTTCATTTTTTTCCTATGTATCTTTCCTGTGTATCTCGTTTCTTCCTTCAGAACTTCTGCTGATTGGATGATATCTCTACTTGCTTTTCCCAGGAACATCAAACTATGTACTACTTATATATTTTTGCACAGACAGCATACGCCACCATTTGACTTGGGAACGGGGTATCATGGTTACAACTGTTTAGCTGTTATGAAATGAAGTTTAAAAAAAATTGATTTACACACTCATTGATTGTTCCACAGTGCTAGTTAATATTCAAAGTATAACTCATTGGCTTAATCATTTGACTTTCAAATGGGTCCCAGGTTCAAACCCTTCTATACCCACTTCGTTCAGAGCAACCAGGTAATGCCATAAGCTCTGAAGAAACAAGCACAGTTCATTTGCTGGTACATAAAAACATGTACCAAATTCGGTTACATTATTTCCATTACTTTTTTTCTCAAGTGATACTTAGTTATGACGAGAACTATCAAGTTTTAAAAAGGATTGATTTTAAAATAATTCGGGTTTATAATTATGTATAATGCTACGAAAATTTACATAATAAGGTCAACTTTGAAAATTAAACATCAGGTCAATTTAATTCATGCTGATGTGTTAATTCTATAGACTAATGATATCGGTGTTTCTAATGCTGAACAAAGTGATGATCATTTCTCATTCATGTTGAATTCATGTATCAGACTGATTTCGTCGACCATTGCATATGTGAATGTTTTTCTTACCTGTTAAATTTGCATTTTGTGATACTTTTTATGAATAGTTCAAAGTTGAATTTGAGATGTCTTTTTAACCTTTGTTTTTGAAACTGTAAATATTGAAGTTCACTCTCGGTAATTTATCAACACTTAACGTATTTCAAGTAGAGAGGTAAAGGTAAATATAATGATGGAGAGTGTTTATAGGTCAGTGGAATGATTTTGGTGTTTCGTTACCTGAGCGGAGGTGGCTTCAATTGAAAGTGACCACATCGACTATATAGTCTGACCAACAATCTCAGAGGCATAAATCCTATTTTTGGACTTACGTCACTAACTACTAACAAAAACTACAAAAACCCAACACTTTTTCTTCGTTTTATTCTGTAATCTTCACAGTTGTTGGAAGATGAGAGGTAGTTTTAATCAAATGGTTTTATATAATCAAAACTCGAAAACAATTAACAGTTGGATACTGATTGTCATTATATTCATTCACCTGATATGTGAATAGTTTTCGTAACAGTCCATGTACTTTAACCTATTTAAGCTGCTTATCCTTTAACGGGGTTTTATAGGTTTGTATAATGTAATCAAGATGGGGATTTTACCTGTAGCATGTGATGTGCATGTGCGCCAACCGATAAATTCCCTGACTGTTGATCTGAGGTGTGTGGGGAGATGTAAACCTCCCTGATGGGGGTCCCTGAGATTATAGGAATCAGTGGTTGAGGATTCTTGGTGACAAGGTTGAAAATCGGTCACAATGACGCAGATGTATTCATTCCTTGACATCTAAAGCGTGACCACTTTGACCAATTCTAATTTTAAATTTTCCTCTTTCCCCATACACTTTTGTTTACTATGATATCAGCCTTTTTTTATCCAATTGTTTGTTAAATACTACTGTGAATTGTGGCAAATTTAACCAGTACACTTATGTGTGAGGTTCTACGTTGATTTTGTCTGTCTGACATTTCAAACAATCCAATCACACATTCACGTATGGAAGCATTCAATATAAAGAGTGAAAATGGAATAGAATCAACATAGGGTTACTGAACACATCCGTTTGTGGTTTACGAAACAAAGACTCGAATATCCTGATATATTTACATTCGAGAGGTAAATATCCTCGTCTATGGATAAACATGGTATAAAAACAGATCATTTGACCGATTTTAGAACAACCTTTCATCATTATATCAATATTATCAGGGATGTTTTATAAAACCATCGAATTTGAAGGTACTTGTAAATTTAGTTCATTTCATGAGTTGAAAAACACCCTGTTCTTATCCTAAACGTATATTGTGAATCTTCATTGTATATTAGTGGCGAAATTAATTTGAAAACAGTACTGTTTATTGGTGCACCTTCTTTAACCCTGACTGGTTTGTTGGATCCTATCTAAACTCTACTCTTGATAAGTAAAAATGTAGTCAAATTGTCCGAAGGGTATTATTCAGTCATATCACATTCTTTAATAAGTAAACGATATCTTATTACACCGTCTGTATTCATTTTAGATGAGACGTTTTGTGACATAATCAACACTTGACTCTGCTGCATTTATTCATACTGTCATCTGTTTCCCATTTTTCATACCTTGAGTCTGAAGCTTAGCTAGTGTCACATAGTAAACTATATTTTATTTCATGTCTTACTGATGGAGTTTGAAGTGTCAGGAATCAGCTTCCAAATGGTAACTAGTTCTCGTAAGTAAACACTATAGATAATTTTGAACTATTAGTAGTATGAAATATAATTTGCACGAAATGTCAAATTTTGATTCTTATCATCGAACTTAAAGTTCCGAAATCGGTCTCTTTGTTGATACAATCTGTAGTATGGAAATTTATTGAACTAGAGTTTTAAGAATAATTTTCATAAATATGCTAAAACTAAAAAGTGATAAGTAGTTTATTTCTCCGTAATTTGTAATTTTTTGGTAATCAGCTTCTTTGCAGTCACACGCATACATGACCACTGAATCACTTTCTGAGGATTCATTTTTAATTTTTACAGAAATCCTAGACGTTAGTAGATACTAGAAACAATATCCCTCTGGTGACACTAAACATACAGTGTATCACTAGAACTCAATATCTTCACTTGTGCAGGCCTATGCTGATCATAATTTCATTAACCCGAGTTTTCCACTAATTCTTAAGCTGGTTTCATTCAATGATGAAGAATACCTTCATGTCACTCACAATTTGAAGCACGTTCCTTTAGAATCAATGCCTTGTTAAGGCAATCGACTTTGAACCTTAAGAGTCATGGGTTTGAATGCTACTCCGGGTACTGGTATTTGGGCAACCCAGGTAGTATTGTAAACCCCTCACATAAAGTGCGACTCATTATCTTCTGGATGAAACTAAATGGTTAATGGGTTACGATTCTTTTTATTTTCGACAGAAGTGTTCTTGAAGCGGAGCTTTAATCAATACTATTTGAAGATTGCACTAAAAGTGACTAGCATACTGTTAACAGATGTACTCAAAAATAAGGTTATCTTGGGGGAATCTTCCACAACCTCAACAACAGATATTTTCCTATACTTAAGATATGAAATAAAGTTGAGAAAAACGCTTAGCTTCCTACCGGTTTTAGAAAGGAGACAGCTCACTACGCCTTTATGTTTTTATCAAGTTAGGAATGTAATTTTTTATTCATCCTGCCAGATGATGCTAGTCTAACTTCAGCCAGCTTACTTTTCCGGCTTCATTCACGTATGTTCTCCGAGGAAGGCAGACTACACAGCTATTCACTGCTTTCTGGTTATCCACTGTCTTTTAAGTGATTTAACTACCTGGTAGACATTAGTTACCTGTAAACGATTTTGATGTTTGGTTTTAGGCACTTACGCTTTATGAAGAAGCTGTTTCTGATTCGCATGCACAGGTTGAAGCCATGGCATTAATTACTAGTACGTTATGTCAACTTACCTGTTTCACTGGAGATAATCAAAGCACATTGCGAACACAGTGTACACGAGCTGCAGCACGTCTTCTACGTAAACATGATCAATGTCGAGCTGTGTTTGCAAGTACACATTTATTTTGGCCAACTAAACCTTTAACCAGAAAAGGGATTAAACCGAGTGTACTTATACCTGTGACAGATAATAATCCAGAAATTTCAACTTATGCAAAATTATCTGAAAGTGATGAGTTACCAGATGAACATTTTGATAAAGTGAGTTTAAAGATGAGTTCACTTGTTTTTACTTTGATTCAAGAAAAAAAAAATCAGTTACTGTGCTTATGAGAAACAGAGGTTGGATGAAAAATAACACAGAACATCTCATTTGACCCAGACTGACAGCCAGCAAGCTTGAACTTTGCCGTAGTTTTGCCGTCTAGTTGTACTGAAGTCTCACGTATTTCTGCCAACATATCATGCTGAGAAACGCTATGTTTGTGCATTCTAGGCTCCTAAAACTGATCGGTTGAATAGACTTGCAACCTTTTAAGACTAATCCTGGCCTTAAGCAATACTTTGAAGGCATTGTTAATCGAGGACTTGTATGTTCATCATGCTTTTCATCTTCAAGAAGTATGTATCATGGATCTAATCTGAAACAGAATGTATTAGTTTTGAGTACTTGATTCTTGTGGGATTGTCGTTGTTTTTGGCAAGATTTCAGTCATTTTCAATCCAAAAAATCCAGCTCACCTCTACAGTTGTTTGGATTAACCAAGGTTATCAACTACTTCAGCAACCGGTTCAAATAATAAATCTGCTCATCCCATTGTACAGCTTCATGAGATTTGCACAAAACCTTCAACAAAGTGATACTTCTGTTCGACACTTTTATACCGAAAAAAAGTTTGTCAAACTTTAAATTGTTGCACAAAGTACTCATTTGCAATGTATGTGGCTGCGCTATTAAGTAACATATGGTCAAATTAATGTCCTTCCATAAATTTTCAGGACACTATGAATTGCTTCTCTGTCCACTAGCTAGTATGAAATCCATTTTGAAAGTTTCTCTTCAATCGTAATCTGTTGTACCAGGATCACGTTTTAGATAAGGGGAAAGAGGATTTATTTTGAATTAATTTCAAAGTGGTTCATAGGGATTCAATGTACTTGAGTCCGTTTTTGGATTAATACCTGTTGCTGTTAAATAAGACTATACTTCTCCTTTTGTTTGAAGTTGATGCTAGCCAGCAACTAGTGTTAGTTTCTGTAGAACAGAGTCTATTGTTAATCCTAGACTATCTATTCGTTTATCTCATCATCTCTACTTGTGCAGTGACATAACTTATTACTACAATTGGTTAATTGTTTTTCGCATTTCTTTTAATAGCTTTGACAACTTTTGTTATGACTGTTTTTCCATGTTATGTAAAATATAGTCAGGGACTAGAAATAGACGTTGGCGAGTTTTACAGTCCCCCTAGGTTTCTGTGGAACTATTTGGTCAACCAGCGCACAATAGGCTGCTACTTGAAACCTCATCAACATTTACACTTTCTATCTTCAAACTAGGTGCTGTTCCCATATCTACAATTTCCTAAGAACGCATTATTGAATTCTAATACTCAAAAGGTGTGCACGAGTACCATACTGTCTATACAAAGTCTTCCATATTTGTCTTAGGAACGCAGCGTGCACGTATAACTTAAGACATCAAAATCCTAATTAATGTCTACTGAGTAGGTTTCTACGTTCAAAAGCTACATTATTAGGTTTGAAGAATAGTTTAAGGTGACCACAATTTAATAATATTTTTATTATTACTACTATATGATTGATAGTTGCTATCACCTAAAAGTTTTGTGTAAATATCTACTCTTTTATGTCGTTAAACGTTTACGGATTAGGAAACGAATGAAGACATTGTATCGATCTGTCACAAGTAGAACTTTTGCGTAGGTATATTTTATCACCACCCTAAGCAATATCCTTTCACTTGAGTTACTATTAGGCTAAGTTAAATATTCTGATTATTAATTAAAGTAGTTTCATGCAATTTGCTTTTGCTGTTGACAGAGTTTAGGTCAAACAGTAAGTAACTTCACTTTTCAATATCGTTGGAAACTGATTTAGTGGTTGGAATTAGTATAGGCATGCAAATGTGTAGTCTCTGTTTTGATGAGGCGCTAATCTCCAACCACGTGCATATTTTAGTGGTAGACAACAGATTACACCTATTGTATGATCTCCAGTTATACCACCTGACTGCCAAAACATGGATAGGTGAAGTGGGTTTGGAAGTTAAGTGTCTAGATCACTGAAACACAGCTGGATTTAATGTCTAAAAAAGTACATCCGTTTTAAATAATGTTGGTTCTGTTATACTAATCTCTTTCGTAAAATATAATTTTCATACTAAAAAAAAGTAACTGTTTTATTCATTCATTGTAGTTGCGTGATGCGAAAGGTGTAATCTCTTGTCTAGATCGTGCAGCTCGATTTGCTAGAGAATGTATGGACACGGCTGTTCGCACACAGTTATTTATTGATATACTTAATCTGTCTGTTAATCTTCGTTTATCAGGTTGTGAACAGGTGAGTATTTGCTCTGAAATTTCCAGTCTCTTAAAACTTTCTTTACTGCCCCGGTTTTTCGTTTGATGAGACTGTGAAGTACTAGTTAAAGTTGTTATCTGCTGTGTTTGCTGTGCTTCGACTATTTACTCGTCTACTTTATCGCCAATATGCATATTCCTATCACAATCTACGTCTTCATCTCATTTTATGACTGTAAATGATTTCTTCAATATCATAGGCCTAAAATAATTTTTTTTAAGACATATATATAACCCCAAAGTGTATACCACAGCGTGTTCTGATGAGATTATATTAATGCCTATTTATATAATAATTAAACCAGACTCGGGACTCAAATTCTTGCTGGACATTCGTAACAACTATGGACTGAATATTAATGGTTTTAAAAAAATATCTAAACTAGGTTTCTCATTGTTCTGTCCAGCATTTTACTTGCCTATGGTGAAATAAACTGCCTAGTTTCCCAACTTAATTTTTTCTTTCGGAAACTAGTTTCATAGGGAAAAACCTGAAAAATCTTGAGTTTACTACTATTTATCATTTTCGAGTTAAGATTTAGAATGAGTTCCTACATCTCATTGCACTGTCACTTCAACCAGGAAACTTAGCTTTTGATACAACTTTGGAAGTTTTCTATCTGCTACTTTTACTATACTCAGATACTGTAAAATCTTTTCTCGAACTATGGCATAATCGGAGTTCAAACATCTTACCAGTACCAGTAAGAATTCTCCATGAATCTTTAAACAGAATGAGTGATATTATCCTTCTTTTCCTAGTTTAGCAGATGGATATCAGTTCATACCCAAATCAGTTAAACTTCAGGTTTCCTATCACTGCTTTTACTGGTTACAAACAGAAAGCTTTGCAGAAGTAAAAACCGTTTATTTGTATTCGACACAGACAAAATCATCATAGGACCAGGCATTACCGTCCAGTAGTACAAGTTACCACACCTGATGTCAACTCATCAAGCGACAAACCATGGAGATGATAAATGAAGAAACAGAGAAAAAAGCACCCAGAAACAGAAATTTGTTATGAGGAGGAATAAGAAAATATTGAATTCCGTATGACGACTAAGATAAGCATAATGTGGAGCTACATCTGCGCCACTGACATCGATTATGAACCATGTCACCTAGAGCCTCCAACCACTCGTTTCTGTTATCACGTGGACCCCAACCAGGAAGTCTATATCTCCCGACACTGCGAAGACAACAGTCAAAGATTTCATGAACTGATGCAATCTTCAGCCTGAACCAACTCTAACTGTCATTTTGTGAGGATACAAATGAGGACTAGACATACGTAACACATGTCCACGTCACCTCAGTCGATGGAGGTGAACAGGTTGATCACGTGACTCTTATCTCCTCACTAAAACTCTACACCTGACTTGTATGTTACTCACCTGGTGACACCACGACATGCGCCTTATTCTACGCAGGCGATGGTGATCAAACACCTGAGTCCTTCTCATATCCTCTACCTTTAATGAGTATATCTCAGCCACATAGTGGAACAGAGCGAACGGTAGTGTAGTAGGCTCGACCCTTGAGCAAGAGTTGGGTATCACAACGGCGCCATGATTGGCGTCAGTAGGCGAAGACCATCAAGTATTTTTTTTTATCCGTGAGGAGATTTTGTTGGTCACTGTCTCACCAGGGTTGAGTCAACTTCCCGAAATAGTGAAGTGGTCAGTGCACTCAACCATTTCGCTCAGTATTGTTAAACAAGAGACCAACGAAGACCAGTGCTGTAGCTATAATTTGGTTTTGATTGGTGAAAAATGCATCCTAAACATTCTCAAGTTGGCAATCGATGTGTTTCCAGAAGACTACGTCTTGTCAGCGTCTTCACCTAACAGGACCATGTCATCTGCATACTCTAGATCTACCAAGGTATCTCTTGAATCAAGATCAGTCTTTGTGAGGTGAGCTAACTTCCGTATTACTCTTGACTGAATATTCTTTATTTAAACTTCATACTATAAATATTTTACCTTGGTTACATTTTTGCGTACAGCTGACTATCCTATTTATTTTATACATCTCATTCATGTCTGCAAAAAAATGAAGACAGTTGGAATAATAGATGGGATCATTCCATAAAATATCTGACTGCTGACTTGAGCCGCTTAAGAAATATCAACAACTGGCGTTGAGGTCTACAGGATGGCCAAAGTCATTGGCTAATGGCTTTAATTAATATATTTAATTCAAATTGAACTCTATGTTACTGTTGCATCTACACATTATCTTCATCGTAAACATCATATCACAATTTGTTATTTACTTCCAACCCTCTTCTTACGATTTTGGTTTAGTTTCTTCCATTTTTCTTGTTTCTCTCTTTGCTATCTTGCATCCTAGTGTGCTAATGTAAGACTCACCAACTTATCTATTTTTCAATATTGTCAAATCTTATTGCGATACGGACTAATGGGGGGTGTGCGTCCGCCATCTTAAGAGACGGAGGTAAACTTTTTTTCTGTGACATATCTTGACTACCTGAATGAATGTATTACCCCGTTGTTGTAACTTACCAAATTCTAATGGCCTGATATTTTAGATGAGATTGAGTTCGATGGCTATCTGTCTTCAATGAACCCTATCTTTGTAGGCCTATCCGCACTCAGAATTGAGACCCAGCAATGTATACATAGGTGTAATATAGACCGTAATTCATTGATTATTTAAATTACGGGGTGCCAGCTTCGGTGTTTTGAATTCAGTTTACGTGTGCCACCTACTAGCTTATATGTAAGAGACACTACTTATTAACTAATAGACTGATGCAGTGACAAAGCGAGTTTGTAGAATGAAGAATAGATGCTATCTCTTACATGACTGTTTGAATGATGTAAGAAATTACGATTTATTGTCTTGCAATGTTTTCTGATATTCTCTTAGAATAGAAACAGCTACAAACTCTGCTACCTAGACATTATTGAACTTCAACGAATCTGAACGGTTCCAGTTTTAATTACAGTCAGCAATACTTTTCCTTTATGCTTATATACGTCTTCGTCTATATGTTTTAATGCTTGATTTATACCAAAATTGCATTTTCATCTCTTTATGTGTATTAATTTTGTAGATAACTGATGATCGAATAAATGACATAATAAATGAAATCAGAAATCTTCTAAAAAGCTTTGAACCTTCTCCTATCACTGACCATATAACAATACACTTTAAGAATACTTTAAGTTATATACGTTACGAAAAACAAACTGCCGCAACTGCTTCTTCTTCTTCTGACATCACTAATGGAAACACACATCTATCATCAGAGTTATCCGATATTGAATCATTAGGTGAGAAATTATTTGCGTCTGTCCAGTTATGATGAGGACAATGGATGGTGATATCTGAAATCTTGTCATGTTTCTTAACCAATGTACACAATCACATTGAAATTATCAAAATAGCGTGATTCTTTCAGTTCTTACACCTACTTCCATGTCTGCTCATTCTGAGTGATCTGAAGAAGCATCGTTTTAAATCTTATAAATAGGATTAAATAATCAAAATGATATTTCATCTGCCCTCCCATCATTTGATTTATTAATTAGCGTTCTTTCTTCCAGAAAATGACTCGTCTTATATATATAATATATTATATTTTTATATTTATATATATATATATATATAGGTTATATGTAAACATAATTGTTATGTATGAATAACTAGTTGACCGAGTTGTTGTAACTGCATTTCTCTCCCTAATCATTATGTAACTTGATCTTTTGTTGTACGAAACTTAAGAATATAGATACTCGGAGATGTGTGTGAGACAGTTAGGAAATATTGTACTATGAAAAAGTGGTTACAAAAGTAACATTTGATGATTTCCCTACTATATTGTCTTTCGTACAAATGTCAATAATTCTTTTCTAGTTATTCACATTTCTGTTCTTTTGACTTTATTTGCACAAGAACAGAAGCTTATGTTTCTTTTCATTATTAATGTAGTTGATCATCCCTGTTAAAATCCATCTGTTCACTCACTACTAGTCATGAAGAAAAATGGTTATTGGTTTGCCGTCTCTTAATCTTGTCTTGATTTTTCTCTTCTCACTATCTTCTAACAATCTTTTCATATTGATTACCACTTGTTTTCCTTTTTTTTCTTGATAAAATTCGATCTCAATATCATGTTAGTTTGCTGTCTTCTCAAAAGTGTACTTGATTATAATTCATATCTTTGTGTAGAATAATAGTATAATTCAGGAATCATGGAAATATGCTCGTCACAGCAACTTGAGAGGAGAATTCATTTTCCTTAGTATATTGAGATCTCGCAGCTGATCAATCAAGTTTAAGCTAGGTGTATTCAAATACCACTGATTGTAGCTACAAGACGTTGTAGCTCATTTTTCTAAACTTTGAACCGGTTGGTCACGTCTTCAAACCCTGCTCCACCTATCGAGGTTTAGGGCAGACGAATAGCATCAAAACCCTCATACTGTATACTTCACCAACGTGCATGTAGTTGCTGAATATCTTTCTACAAGGATTTGAATTTCCAGTCTCCCTACAAGCAATGATATCTGAGCTACAAACATTGCAGTGGGAAATAAATTATCTGAGAGAAGACACTTACTTAACCAACATAAAGGCTAGTTATATCAAAACTAACCATTTTGTCACTGCTATGTAATTGTATAGCATTATAGAAATCTGAAGGAACGATGGAGTAATTCGTGGTCTCTACTTATGACGTCGCTGATAGTATCATAAATGACAAAGATTAGTTTCTAGAAAGGCAAACGCACGAAGTCAGCTATAATGGTGGATATTCTCAGTGTGTAACTGAGAAGACTACACCAGGATAAGAGGCAATTTGGAAATATCTTCAGGATCGGTTTGCCCACAAAACCTATAAGAATACGGACCTGGTATTACTGTGTAATTTAACCACATCATTAATTGATCTGACATTTAACCACTCTCCTTCAGTTCAGTTTGCAAAATGAGTCTGTCCTATAGAGCAGAGAGCTTGGCATGTGCTTCTCATTCTGTCGGTTAACCCAAGCTTAATATAGTGTAGATAAAGTAATGAATGTCACATAGCTGCAAAACATTACTCGTATGTGACGAAAACGACAACTGAATTGCGTACAAATTAGGCGAAGAAATGGATGAGGAGTTGGACGTACACTACAGAGTAAACGAATGAAGTAAAAAGAAACAAAATCATCATAGGACCAGGCATCAATTAAACTTCAAGTTTCCTATCACTGCTTTTACTGGTTACAAACAGAAAGTTTTGCTGAAGTAAAAACCGTTTATTTGTATTCGACACAGACAAAATCATCATAGGATCAGGCATTACCGTCCAGTAGTACAAGTTACCACACCTGATGTCAACACATCAAGCGACAAACCATGGAGATGATAAATGAAGAAACAGAGAAAAAAGCACCCAGAAATCGCAGAAATTTGTTATGAGGAGGAATAAGAAAATATTGAATTCCGTATGACGACTAAGATGAGCATAATGTGGAGCTACATCTGCGCCACTGACATCGATTATGAACCATGTCACCTAGAGCCTCCAACCACTCGTTTCTGTTATCACGTGGACCCCAACCAGGAAGTCTATATCTCCCGACACTGCGAAGACAACAGTCAAAGATTTCATGAACTGATGCAATCTTCAGCCTGAACCAACTCTAACTGTCATTTTGTGAGGATACAAATGAGGACTAGACATACGTAACACATGTCCACGTCACCTCAGTCGATGGAGGTGAACAGGTTGATCACGTGACTCTTATCTCCTCACTAAAACTCTACACCTGACTTGTATGTTACTCACCTGGTGACACCACGACATGCGCCTTATTCTACGCAGGCGATGGTGATCAAACACCTGAGGCCTTCTCATATCCTCTACCTTTAATGAGTATATCTCAGCCACATAGTGGAACAGAGCGACGGTAGTGTAGTAGGCTCGACCCTTGAGCAAGAGTTGGGTATCACAACGGCGCCATGATTGGCGTCAGTAGGCGAAGACCAATCAAGTATTTTTTTTTATCCGTGAGGAGATTTTGTTGGTCACTGTCTCACCAGGGTTGAGTCAACTTCCCGAAATAGTGAAGTGGTCAGTGCACTCAACCATTTCGCTCAGTATTGTTAAACAAGAGACCAACGAAGACCAGTGCTGTAGCTATAATTTGGTTTTGATTGGTGAAAAACGCATCCTAAACATTCTCAAGTTGGCAATCGATGTGTTTCCAGAAGACTACGTCTTGTCAGCTTCTTCACCTAACAGGACCATGTCATCTGCTTAATCTGGGTCTGCTAAGGAGTTTCCTATGACAAAATCGATCCATGTAAAGCCAGATAGTGTGGAGAGGAGAACTTGCGTATGTGCGTCTATGATGAAATCAAATAAAAATGCTAAGAGTTCGTATCTTTGACAGACACCTTTCTATATGCACGACTCATCTGATAATTCACAATCAGCTCTAACACACCAACGGCTGTTTGAGTACTTAGCCATAAGATGAGCTGTCTACTTACTCAGCACCTTTTGCACTGAGCGACACTGCTGTAAGACCTGCGGATTGACGGGGTAGAAAGGCGACTTCAGGCGGAGAAACGCACCCAGTTTCAGATGTCATTCTGGTCTATACAGACACAGCCACGTGTGGGCTATGCCCGATTTTTTCGGGTGCTTTCTCTGAACTCCTTTTAGATGTCTAATGGTAATTGAACCTAAAATCTTAGAAATAATGTTCGTCAGGTTGATTCCCTGTGGTTATCAAAGAGAGAACTTTTCGCCTTTCATTACGACTGGGAGAACCAATGAATGAGACCAGTCATATCTAACTCCCATAAACTACCTAACAGTTCAATTCATAAGACTAATAATTTGCCACTACCAGCCGATCAGGTTTCAATGCTCTTCCTCTCTTCAGATAACACAGCTTTCTCGACTTGAGTGTTGGACAACCTATTGCAATATTCAATCAAGAGCCGACTGGATAGTGCGCAATGGGAGAATAACTACAGGCTAGTCAAGCTGTCCCACCAGTCATCTCTCCTACACATCCTTCTCGACTTAAGCCTCACTAACTACTTACTTCTCTGCCTCAGAGCTATCTACTATACTCACGATAGCTTCCTTTTGCATCGCTTTAGCTTTCGCCATCCACTACTGCTTGCAGTCATTGAGTAGACTCCTTCTCAGTTTATATTTGACTTGCTTCCGTTCCTCACTGTGCATGCAGCCTGCAGGAATGCGTTCACGTGTATCCATTAGTTCAGAAACTGCTGAGTACCACCGTGTGCTACTGACTAATTTGTGACAGTCATTTACAACCTTCAACGCTGCTGTTACATCAGACTTGAGATGGTGACAGACTTCTCTCTGAGAGTTCTTCTGTTCTAATAATTGTCCAGCCTGATCGTTGCTGAAATCAGTCTTAGTATTATTATCGTCAAGCTGTATTCGCAGTAGTCTCTCAGCTTTAGCTTTCCTGCGTCCATACAGGCGCAGACATGTGCTCGAGTCAGTGTGTCATCTCAGTCAAAAAACACGCTCCAGATGGAGCAGAGACCTCCAAGTGACCTCATCAATAATTGATAGCCATATAGACTATCTGTGTCTACCGTCGAGTTGTGGTCCATACTTACCACACCAGACAATATATCTTTTTGCATCTAAAACTGATGAGTTCAGGAAAAGATGGTTGACTGAGCCCAGTTTTGTATCGGTTCGTTTGGCTGGGATTCCGAAAGTGTCTTTCTGTTTGGCTTGGCCTACTGACATGTGCATTGAGATGATATACAACGACAACCATATATGAACGTCCGGCTTCTAGTAGATTGCACAACTTTCAACTTCAATCGAGCTTCGGTAAGTGGGCATGTAAATAGATTGCAAAGATGCGACGATGAATTTCAGTATTTCTTTTAGTCCTTACTTTGCCATTTAGTGAAACAGCGCATAACTGACTGTCAACTAGGTCGAGTCAAGCAATGAACTATTCACCTTAGGATTTAATGCTATGTCCACACCTGCAAGGCAATGTGAAAACCAGCCAGTCTCTAGAAACTAGAAGGGTGAATTACGCGGATTCAAAGAATGATGTTAAGTGAATAACCGCTATTGGGTCTTGTATGTGTTTCTCGCAAACATAGCACACACTCGCGGCCCAAAATCCCCTAGCTTTCGCTAGCCAGGCTTGTTTTCCCGTTTGATGGAGGATGGGAACAATAAAAACTCAAAAATTCAGCTTGAAACGCAGCTTCAGCTGGCTAGAAATGCTGTTTCTTGAATGCAAATTGCTACCAAGAGCTTCAGAAATGGAAGGAATCAACGATGAGGTAAAAATGTTCAAGAGACTTGAAAGTAGGTTGTACGGTGAGGATGTGGAAGATAAGCAGTGATCTAATAGAACTTGAATGGTGTCAGATTTTTGAGGGGTGTCGACACTTCTCATCTGCCCACATCGTGGAATGCTCTTCTCAAGGTATCTGCAAAAGAAAGGTTAGTGCGTGGCCAACAGAGCTCAAGGGACATCTGCTTGAGGCTGTTCTCAGATGACATTTTTAAAAGTTTAGATTTAAGTTGATCAGTTTCGACTCCGACCATAAACCTATACCGCAGCACAAAACGACCACAGGGGATGTAGAGGTATGCTATTTTTTAGACGACCTTTTCTAGCACCTTTCAGTTCCTATACGAAGTGTAGCACCAGCTAGGTACTGCTGGTCATCCATGAGAGAAAACTCACTGTTGTCACACCTGGTTCAGTCAACAGTACAAATCGCCACGGACCGTCATCATAGCATAACAATTCACCCTATTACGGCAACTGCTTTTCGTCTTACCACTATCCAACAGACTTTTCTATCATGATAGGACCTCAAGGAACAGGCGTCCCAGCCAATGCAGCTCGTTGGGTCGTTTCGATATGCAAGCCCTACAACCACGTCAACGTAGCAGATATAAGTCGTGAATTAAATGGAATACTGTTTCATCTATATTTCGCAAGTGATTCATTATGAGTATTTTTAAAAGGTAAAGTTTAGGCACAATATTAGTCGTATTGTGGTATGCAGTTTAGGAATAGCTGCATGCATACATTTCGGCATAATCATGAAAGCCAGGTTTGAAGGTTTATTTAGTGTAAATACATTTTCAAAAACGATTTCACATATAAGCAGCTATACATACCAATTGAGCGTAAACAATTGTTCAGTAATGGGTTTAAAAACTATGTCAATTTATTCATGTTGCACAAATCAGGTGGTTGGTCAAGAAACAGGCAAGAAAATACATCATCGAAAAAGGTTGGATGGTAGCGACAAGCTCTTTCACAATCTGGTGAAAAATTCACTTCACACACTACAGGGAACATGTCTTTCTTCCTCGATGACGTCGTATCTACACGCCATTCCAACAGTAAATCAACTGCATATAACGCTCGTGACTGGTAATTGTGAGTTAAACCACGTGGAGCAGGATACTTTGTTGCTCCTTGAAAAATGTCAACCAAGAGTTGGTGTATTTTATGCTGAAAAACAAGTAAAGATTCTTTAAGAAATTATATGGTTGTAGAAAAAGTGAGTCAGAATAAAATTATTGACTAAACTGTTATTTTTATTATGGAACCAGCTAAAAAGAACTAAAAAAACAATGTTACACGTTTATGTACTAGGCTATCAGTCACACATGGTGCGTGAGAGCCCACTACCCGGTTTGCTCAGGCAGAAAGAGGTAGGGTGAAATTTGAACTCGTGGGTCACTGCTTAAATATCAAACGCTTAAGTGAATGAGCCTTATATTCACTGGTGAAAAGAATGAAGTACCAGATAAATACTTCTAGCTTTATAATTTCAAGAAGAGTGTACCACTGATTTCGATCAAAGACCTCCAAATTCTGCAGAGAGAATATCATCATTGAATAGCTTGGGTAAGAATGAAATAACACATACTATTCTAGCAAAAAACTGATGTGGCGTGAACCCTGGGAAGAGGAGGAGCTAAGTTTACGATTATGCTACTTAGTACTTATCGGTGAGAGAAACTATCCTTCATTTCTCAACGAATCCACAATATGCGTTCCTTTTCAGTGCAACAAATGTGTGATTATTACACATTAAGCAAATTTGTTGATGTTATCAAGCTGGAAAAATCAGCTTCATTTAAATACCAACTTATAGCTACTCTATCTGTTTGTTGACTTAACTTTCAATGCATTAAGCTTGAATATAAACTAATTATTGTATAATTTACAACATGTTGTAGCTATTTCATACACCAAAACAGTTTGCTTGGATCAAATGATCTGAAATAGCATTTTCAAATAATTTGAATCTTATTCACAGTTCAAAACCACAGTAAGGATAAATATATGTTTCAATCATTTTGAGTGCGATTACCTATTCTCAGAAATCGTAAAGTATTTAACAGCTAAGGAATAAATTAACAAAAACAATGCATAAATCTATCACTCATCTAATATCAAGTTCTACACGTCAGTGTTTGGCAATGATCCTGCAAATCACTGAACTATGAGTCAATCAACTTTCACAGCCAACTCTATTTATTCATGTTTAGAAAACCATGTCACGTAGCAGCCCTTACAGCTATTATAGACCTAGTACACAAATCTGCATGTTACGCTGTTAGGTCGAATTCTGTTTTTGATCATATGACCTTATTCTATCGACTGAATTCGCTACAAATCAGTGTGTTACATAATATCAACACCGACGTACACTTCGATAGTCCTTGGAATCATAAATGCTCTAGAGGAATTCAAACAATTCAAAGCTAATTGAAGTAACTGAACTGTTCATAAATATACGATGGTTTCAAGAGCAATGTGGTTGATTAGCAATAGTATTGTCATAGATTTCAATATGACACTATATAAAGCACTACGAGATCATTAAAAGAGGCAGTTGGATTAGCCAAACAAGGTAAATCTAACTTGTCTTTAGAATGAGTTACACCTTCTACCTAACAAAATAGAACGCGGATGTATGAAACAATTATGAGGCAAGTCAAAGAATACCTCAACATTTGCCCACTGATAATCTGGATATTGCTTGTTAAACAGCTCGATAAATTCATCACAATGTATCTGAAATAAAATAAGCAAAGCGAATATAATGAACAACATTTTTCGGATGATTAGCGATGAAATATATGGCGTGCATATATCTAGGTATTGTTTACTACACTAATGCTACACTTAGAATTGTTTACGTTGTATAGTTGGTAAGTCGATCGCCCTTCAGCGATCTTCGTACCTATATTTGACCAAGAAAACACGAAATAAGAAGGTTTACATGTGAATTTCTTCAATAGCAACCTTCCTGAGATGTACCTGCAACAAACAGCCCATCATACAAATGTAATTGATGAAAATATAACTGCGAACGACAAAGTCAAATGCATCAACTGTCTTACTCAACTGAACAGATTTATCCACCTTAGATAGTAAAATTGATAACAAAGCCTCAATGAGAAAGCATAATGCTTTTATCTCGTAAACATCTACAATGACTTCATTCAAACACCAAATTGCCTACCAAGGATCGACTAAGTTGAACCTTTCCGTCTACTAGTTCCCATCGGCGGTGAAATACTGTTGCTTTAAGAAAAAAACAGTAATCCTCAGAACAAAGTAGATAGCAACAATTACTCAAAATTACACTTTGACAAAAAATATGAATGCACCATCAATGAATACTTGACAATAAATTTAACGTTGGTGGTGGCTTAGTTAACAATAATTGGGAGCTGTAAACAGAATCAAGTCATCAAGGATAATCTCATAAGGATCAAGATCAAATTAAAACTCGACACTAACAACCTTAGTGCTTCTCAAGGTCAGCACACAAAAAAATACTACGTAGGCGTAACCGCTACATTAAGTTAATTGATCTAATAATGAAACGTTCACAATTACTTATGAAAGCACGAAAATTTGACTAGTGTACCAAAAGACAAAAAAACAGTACGAGAGGCTAAAAAAAAACCGCTGTTCATGTGAGCCCTGAGGTGTCAGGGGATTTACACATTATGGGTGCAAAAGTTGGAAAGTAGATAGACTTTTGTTTCAACCAAACTGTTGCTTGACATCAAATACAATGTTGAAAAAAAAGGGAACTTGGAACACTAAAAAGAATCATTTATCCCTTAGTTCGCTTTTGTGGGTAATTCTACAAGCTTTCTCTTCACTTGTTATTTTTACTACCTACATACCTATCATATTTTCCTATGACTCAAGATTTTAGTGCATCATTAGCGAAGTCATAATGATTTGGTGTTCCCTGGGTTTTGGTATCTAAGATTTATTACATTTTATTTTCGCGTATATGATATGGGTTGTAGATGATAAGGAATATAAGTCAATAAGGAACAGTTTACCAGCACCAGTCTTATCTTTTGTTCAGTAACTAAGTGATATGCGTGAAAACTCAGTCACTTAGGTCCAAAAGAGACTTTCAACTGAAAAAAAAATATCGAAATATATTACATGATAGGTCCAGTTAGTCAATTTCAGTCATAAGAAAAATAAATGCAATTGCCTCTTAACGTTTTAGTTCAACATTTTCGTTCAGTTAAGAGGAATGATTCACATAAATTTGACGGTTAGTATGCTGAAACGTACATCTATTGCAACTAGCTTCACAAATACAGATAAAGCAATACACAGATATAAGGGGATTCAAACAGTTCCTGTTAATTTCTTGAAATCAACAGATAGCGTTTTAAGAGGATCAAACACAATTCTGTTTCATTGATTGGTCACTGAAGGGTAACTAACTTCATGTTGTCTAGTACTATGTGCTGATCGAATTCTGACGATTATTTCGCAATGTAACTACCAGGCTAGGCAGCTCAGTATCACGATGCACTTTGATAGATGCTAGCATAGGTCTAAGGCTTCCTGCCGATTGCCTCCGTCCAAATAACACAATTCGGTTTCATTAAACATCTTCCATGAAATTTTTTCTTGACATAAAACAAACATTTATTAATTGTAATTTTAGAAATGTTTTCTCATGAGCTGCAAATGTGATCCTGGTTTCTTTCTACCTTAGCAGTATTCACTATTGCAAAAGTGTAACCTGAGTAACCAGGTTATTTCAGATATTTCAGCGAGATTATTGAGCTGTTGACATACACAAGCATCAGGGTGAGTAAAAGAACAACAGAGAAAACTATTCAACCAAATTTCGTTTATGATGTCAGAACGATGAAAAACGTGCAGAAAATGAGGCAATATTAATTAAGTGACTTATGTTTATAGTATACCAATTTATACTGTCCCAACTAGTCGTCCCATAAGAACAGTACATGTGAAGTGAAACGATATCCGCAAATTTCACTTTGTTACTTCCTTCCTCTTCTACAAACCTTGAGAACGATTTGAATTCATGCAACATCATTCCTAGTCTCCTGAAACTGCGCTCCAAACAACATAGCAGAGCTTTTAATGTTCGTACCCTCCGCTAAATCACACAAATATTCCTAGACAAAACTTTAGCATCTCGAAACATAGATTTGTGCTGTTTGCGAGAAACACTTAGAGGGACGAAGTGTGGTCGCTGTCTTAAAACTAACCTTCAACTTTCTGGAGATTCGATGACTGGTTTTCGTGCGAATTCGCAGGGGTGAGCATAGCATTTAGTCCTAAGGCAGAAAGTTCATAGCTCGACCAGATCCCAGTAGAAAAGCACCGTCGGGCTGTTCAAATGAACGGTGAGGACTAGAAAAATATTGAAACTCGCCGTTGTGCCTTTGTAATGCACTTACACATCCAGTGACTGAAGTTCAGATGAAGTGTTAGAAGAGTCCCACTGAAAATTGTGTGATCTACTAGAAGCCGAACGTTCATATGTGGTTGTCGTTGTACATCATCTCAATGCACATGTCAGTAGGCCAAGCCAAACAGAAAGACACTTCGGAATCCCAGCCAAACGAACCGATACAAAACTGGGCTCAGTCAACCATCTTTTCCTGACTTCATCAGTTTTAGATGCAAAAAGATATATTGTCTGGTGTGGTAAGTATGGACCACAACTCGACGGTAGACACAGATAGTCTATATGGCTATCAATTATTGATGAAGGTCACTTGGAGGTCTCTGCTCCATCTGGAGCGTGTTTTTTGACTGAGATGACACACCAGCTCGAGCACATGTATGTCTGCACCAATAGTGACTGAAATGGTTGAGTACATTGACCACAACCGAGACCATCCACCTGAGATGAAATCTGTGCACGGACACCAACCAAACTGGCTTTCGTCAACAGATGCTATATGTGGTGCCGCCGTGAAATCTCATTGTTTATCAAGGGCCAAGTATATTGTGCTCCTGTTCGCTCTGTTCGACTATATGGCTGAGAGATGGTTACTGAAGGTATATTATATGAGAAGGCTTTGGGCGTTTGACCACCGTCGCCTTCGTAACGTAGGCTGTGAGTAGTGGTGCTACCACATCTGTGACAGAAACATCTTTCACCTCACGTTTCGCCAGTCATCTTAAGAAGGATACGAAAATCACATAAACGTCACATTATTCCAATCTAGTCAGTTGTGATATGAACAGTCCTATGCGACAACTCGCTGACGCGGATAAAAACTTTTCGAAGGCCATCAAATTCCTTCGGTGTTATGGATACTTCGTGCAGATGATTCTCAATAAACATATAACCAAGGTTAGGGATTTCCTACCGCCTCCAATTCTGTTGAACATTTTCAAATATAAATTTATTATATTCAGTAAAGACGCAAAAGTATCGCTCACTTGTTTTAAATTATCAGCAGCACGATAATTCATAACTGTGAAATGTATATCGTATGCATCGAAATCCCTCAAAATGAATGCTCTACAAAAGGGAAAAAGAAAAAAAAATCAATTTAATAGTTATTTCAGCATTGGTTCATATCCCATTTCTATATATGTATGCAATATGATCACACTTTAAGCCACTTGTTGCATGGTTTGATATAGAAGTTATCGATACTTCCGAGCCACTTCGATCACAGTAGACACAGCATCTATGATCACATGTACAACCTTTCTGAAGCCGGATATCTTAATCACTATGCTATCTGATAACGGAGGCTAGGAATAGATACTTCAAACACAACTGTAAACTACGTTTGGTTTAAACAGAAATGCATAGTAATTGGGTCAATGAATATGTTAATCACATTTATTTATGACATTTTCCCTGCCAGACAACTGAGTGATCAACATACAAACTATTGTAATGAATGGAAAAACTCTAGAATTGTTTTTCCAAGTGTAGAATACAAACCAGAAAGACTTAATTGGCTAAAATCCAATGTCTAAAACCATGAGTTAGGCACATTTCCATACACCTGATGGAGATGAAATATTCAAATTGAAACAATTAGCTCTCTATATGAATGAATCTTGATAAAACAATAAGCAGAGATAATTTGTCTCAATTATTTAATGTATTTGCACAACACGTTTCGAATAGTTTGATCACACATCTACTTGTTATTGGCATTGATATGAAAAAATTGCAAAGTCAAGGGGTAGAAAAATGATGACTGGTCAAATAAAGACTATAACTAACGGTCAAAATACCAATGAAAATCAATAAAGCAACAAATAAGCAGCGCAATAACATTGTATTCAAAGCCGAATTTACCAAGGAAGGCTTAATGTGAACAATCTCGATAGAATTTATTCTTATTCTTCAGATGTGCAAGTATTGCAGGGAACGGTAGCAGCTAGTCTAACGAAATTTCTTAGCTTAAACATTATCACTAGGGTCAATTTAAACTCAGTGAAGCGAATGAAACGGAATTCTCACGTCTATATGGTCTACCCAAAATACATAAACCCAACTGTCCTCGCCCTATACTGTCAATGTATAGATCATCAACAGATAAGCTTGCTAAGTGGCTAGTGGAACTACTGACGCCAATCAAAAGACAGTGATATAAGTATATTTTGAAAGATGTATTTGAGTTAGCTGACTGCCTTGGTGGTATTAATCAGAGTAATAAAACTAAGTATTCTTTTGACGTTAACTTCCTATTCTTCAATGTTCCCTAGTCGAAACAATTGACATTTTGTATGATTACATTTCCATGAGTAATTTTTCAATCCCAGTCCCCTTATCTTACTTTAAACATTTATTGCTTTTATGTACTAACAATGTAAAGTTTACATTTGAGGACAAATATTTTCGCCAGACTGATGGTGTTACTATGCGAAATCACCTTAATCCACCGCTTTAACAGTTATCTGTATATTGCATATTGAAAAGTTCCACTTTCTAAAAGATATGTGGATGATACCTTAATCATGTGATAATTCATTTTGTGCTATTTTTTTGTGAATCAAATAAACGAAGTACAAAATAGTATATTTTAACAAGTGCAGAAGAGAACGGTAACTGCCTGTCTTTCTTAGATGTATTGATCAGTCGACGGCAAGATGGATCAAAAACGATCTATCTACGGAAAACCTACTTGGACGGGACAGTATTTAAATTATTACCGTTTTTGTCCAATCAACACAAACAAATGTAGTTAGATGCTTATTTAATCGAATCCAACAAACTGGCACAGCGTTACATTAGAAGCAGAGACAAGAATATTGAAGGAGACGTTGACCGAGAACAATTACCCAACGAAATTTATAAGTTGACATAAAAGGAATTGAACACTAAGAAATACTGTCCACTCTGTCTCTAACAAAGATGTATTCATCAAACTACATACATCGGTAGTGCGAATAGCTTGGTAATCATCAGGTAGAGACATAACGCTGCCATCAATATAACATATTATGTAGCTAAGGTTTGGATAATTGAAAGCTCGAAGCCTGCATACCCATTGAAGCCCTTAGATTAGGTGAAAGATGAGCTTACATTCTATTGCATTTACCAATGTAAGCGAATTGTGGCAACAGATACATACGGAGGGCCAATCGGTCATTTAAAATAAAGGCCACATGATAGATTCTAAAGTGGCCTCAGAAACAAACAGTCACCTGACCCAATTGATGTTGGAAATAAACGTCCGAGCTCATCAATAGCTTAACATATTATTGAAAAGAAGTCTAAAATGGATGTACAAAAGTCGTTTAAGCCCACCTACAAGACCTGTTGGGGACGTATTTCAAAGTTTGTTGAGTCTTTAGTTATTAGAAGGTTTAAGTCATCATTATGTGTTGAAAAGCAATTTGTCATCACATTAAACCTTCTTAGGTGAATTCGGGTTTGAACCCAGGGTTATCGTACAATTAACTTTTGTTGTTGTTTCATTATTGATCTTCATTGGTATTTTGACCTTCAATAAAGTCTCCTTATTTGATGGATAATCATTTTTCTACCACTGTATGGTTTTTCATATAGATGCCAATAACATGTACGCTTATGATCAGATTGTTCGAAATATTTTTTTCAAGTTTGTATTCATCGTGGACTGACATTACCTGGAGGAACATTGGAGACCTGGAAGCACTGGACGGCTGTTTTGTCCTAGCATGGGACTCTTCAGCAGTGCGCACCCACGACCTTCAGGTTCCGTGGCCAGCACGTTACCATTGAGCCACTGGGTCGGAGTCCAGTGATCCATAATTCCAACTTCTGTCAGTTCATGACATAGCGCGGCCGCCACCCATTGTCATCGTTGAGCATTTTTCCTTATGGCCACCACGTTTGCCCACTGGTCACGACTTCTCACTGGAACTTCGGGAATTTTCGAAGCTAGACACCAATGAGCACTAGTTCAACGGAATTCGGTTTCTGGGGATTTAGAGATTTTTCAAGTTGGTATTCATCGTGGACTGACATCCCTGGCAAGGTCGTGGGTGAGCACTGATGAAGAATCCCATACTAGGACGAAACAGCTGTCCAGTCCTCCCAGGTTTCCAGTGTCCTTCCAACTGATGTCAGTCCACTTTGAATACCAATTTGAAAAACCTCTAAGTCCCTACAAACCACTAAATTCAATGTTTGAAATGTTTTGTCTAAATACATTACGTGATTTAGACAAATTACGTCTTTTTATTCTTTTGTCAAAATATTAAGATGTTGGCAATGCAGTTCAGAAAAATGTGTGCAAATCAAGAACAATATGTAGCTTCATGTTCTAGGTGGTGACCACACCTAGTGAGTGACGGCTACTGATGCTACCCGGTCACGCAAATCTCTTTGGATGAAGAGTTTGAACTCCAAATAAAATAGATAAAAAGTGAACTTACTTATTGGCAAATCGAAGCCAAAATATTTTATATGTATACAAAACCAAAGGTTTGACAGAACGCAGTAACACCACATAGCGAATATCAAATTTGACATTGGCTTGTATGTCATCACGATAGAACAGGACAGGATCCGTAATATATCGACTAGCAATCTGACAATAATATAACCAGAAATGTGTAAATACTTGAAAGTAGACAGTATTATACAAGAATGAAAATGAAATCAGAATAATCGGAGTGGTCAACTTTGTCTTGTTTACTAATGATCAATGGGATTTCCCTGCTTGTTTCAATGCAACATAATTAATTTACCAACCATAACAAATGTGAGTAATGATAGGTTTTGAGAGTGAAGAGAAGTAGAAATGTACATATTCATGCAGTAGACAGTAAGCCACACCTATTGTGTGAGGGCTAAGGATACTTCTTAGCCGTAAAAACCTCGGTAGGTGGAGTGGTGTTAGATCCTGCGGCCAACTAGTTGAAAGTATACTCCTTAAACCAATGAGCCACAACTCCACGTTTCGAAATTGGTATGCATAGCACTGAACTCTTGAAGAAAATTCTTTAGATTTGAGTTTACAAGATGTTCCAATCTTCAAAAATGAAAAATGACTCCGTAATAAATGGCTAAGTCAAATACATAAAAGAATCATTGTTCTATTCATGTGATCACAGTTGATTTTGACTAGTCTCTTGGTACGAGCTTGTTTGTGATTTACGACGTAATTCATGTATCCATTTTCTCAGAACCCACATTTGCACATATATTGCTTATATATATATATATATATATATATATATAGAGAGAGAGAGAGAGAGAGAGAGAGAGAGAATTCTGTCGCCCTTCGGTGGATCAGAAATGTAACAACAAGGAACTTTCTTGTCTCTACTTCACAAAACAGCAGGTTTTAGTTTAAATGGAATTGTAAGTCCCAAACCATTCACTGAAGCTTCGGTAGACTGAATTTTCCAAGATGTCTATCCCTGTTTAACTACCAGTGAAAAATTGGAATTGTTATTGAAGCGAAAACTTAAATTGATTAAGATTATACGCAATATTAATGTCGTTTCGTCTTCCCGTTTCAGCATGCCTACTCCTCCAGTATTCAACAGTCAAAATGTACTACCGCCGATATTATTTGATGATCCAGATTCTTAGGTAACATTTAATGCATGATTTCGATATTCTGAGAGATTTGCTCAAAGCTAATTTCAATGTAAAAACCTAGGAAAAGAAGTTTATCTTTCGCTTTAAAAAATCAGTGCAGATAGGCTTCATAATGACCGTTACCTGACCTCTAGCATTCACGAAACTCCATGTTTTATGATACTGCCAAGCCGACTTACCTAGAAGTTTTAAAATTACTCCTCACTGTTTAACAGACCCTATCAATTTCAAAGTCTGAATATTAGCAATCACAATAACTTAATCGATGAACAAAGTAGAACCGAAATGAACTCAATAACCTTATGCACAATCGTCCATTAGGCAATGAGTCACACCTGGCTGCCGAAACCTTAGTAGCTGGGGCAAGGGCAACCTGTAACTCATTGGTTGAAAGTCATCTCCCTAAATCAATGACCCAGAGCTGCACCACGATAACTTACATAAGTGATGACTTTTTAAATTGAATTTGTACAAAACACTCATTTTTATCAGCGATCTTCAATGATCTAAAATACTCTGATATTCAAACACAGCTTTTAATTTGCCTTTATTCAGATCGATAGTTAACACAACAATAAGTGATATTACCGATGAATGAAAAGTTTTGGTCAATCTTCAACACAACACTAATACTGTTTTACCGTGTGCTATATCAAATAAAACAATCTAGTACGGAACTTCAGTTGCTTACACTAGTAGAGTCAATATACACGTTAAAGATCAATCTACCTATGCTTTAATCTTAAGAGTCACCTTGTTCTGTATTGTAAATATTAAAGATAATAGATACCCAAGATTAATACATGTTATGATTAGTAAAGTATTTTGACTAACCATCGGATTAGTATCACACATCCTTATGATTCTGTCTAGATTATCTGTAATAACAATTCCTAGACCCCGACCAAGATTCCACGGTTTTAATATCCATAGATTGTGTTTACCATTGTCTGTAGCTTCTTCTTCATTAGAGACGATTTCATTCTGTAAATGAATAATTATATCAGGAACATGTATACAAACACGTACAATACAATGGCAAAGTAGCATTTGATATGATCAAGAAAACCTATTTGATTGTGTTTTTTCCTGATTTGCAGTTCTAGTTATTAAATGTTCCAACGTCACAGTAGACAGTCTCCATTACCAATGCAACCCTGACAATGAATGAAGTGAATTGATTATGCATAGTTATTTATGACTGGCAATTTCATCTGAAAGTATATAGGTGGGCCGAACCTGAATAACTAGTGCCTCAGGTCCATATTTCTCGGGAAAGGATTGGAATGGCGTACTTGACTGACTTCACCACTTTTGTGACTTGAATTAGAGCGACTTTCATATCCTCAGCTATAAGTATTTGCCAGACTCTATCAAAAAGCTATTTCTATATAATTAATTAAATGCATTGGCGGAATCATGCTCCTGTCCACACTGAGCAAAATATTAAGCCGCATCATCCTAGAAACTAAAAAATGGTCTGAATTCAGAAAGTAAAAATCATGTGCGGACCAAATTGCAACGCTACGCATCATCATAGAACACAGCATAGAATGTCAGCCAACTCTCTAATTTTGAAGCTCGGAAAATTTGGAATAGACAACTTACCATTCAACAACTATATGAGGACGCCACATGCCAAGTGATTCACAGTGGAAAGCTCAGTGATGCCTTTGAAGTGAAGACAGAAGCAAGACAAGGCTGCCGCCTACTATCACCGACGATCTTCTTGATTGTGGTCGACTGCACTGAACTGGATCATGCAAGAAACTTTGAGGAGAAAGAAGACGGCATTCGTTGTTTGACCGATGAAAAGACCCCAGAAAAAGATTTGGATTTCGTCGATGATGACTTATGTCTAATGTCTCGTCGCATAAACTCGAAGATCTACAGGCGAAAACCAGCAACTTGACAGAAGAGGCGAGACAGCACAAGACGGGACTTCAGGTGAATGTAGAGAAGACAGAGGTGATCAAGATACACATCCAACCAACAACAAGCACCAATCACCATCAGCGGGAGAAATCTAAAAGAAGTCGTACCTTTCACCTACCTACCTACCTAGGCAGCACCGTTTCAACTACAGGAGGCACAGGTACAGGTACAGATGAAGATGTCAAAGCCAGCCAGGATCGGAAAAGCAAGACACGCCTTCATTAACCTGAAATCAGTGTGGAGATCTACTGCACTGAGCATAAAGCGTGAACAAGATCCGGATTTTCAACACTAAATCAGTCAAGTCAGTGCTGCTATATGGTTCAGAAATTTGGCACGTTACGAGAAGCATTTCCAACAAACTACAAAAACGCATCAACAGCTGCCGCCTACGCCCACTAAATACTGAAGATCAGATGGCCAGAAAGAATAAGCAACAAGGAACTCTGTCTGATAATGAACCAACCAAGAACCCATCGCCCAAAAAATAAGCAGAAGAAAGTGGAGATGCATCGGATTGGACATACACTGAGAAGATCGTTTGGGGATATCACTCCACAAGCCAAAGACCTTGAGTGGAACCCAAAGGGAAACGACGAGTTGGACGTCCGAGGGTAACATGGAAGAGATTATGTAAGGAAGAAATGAGAGCTTCTGGACAGTCGTGGAGCCAGGTTCAAAAGACTGTAGAGAACAGAGCGAAATTGAGACTTGCAACTGAAGCCCTATGTTCCACTAGGAACACAAGGGACAAATAATAATAAAATTAAATGCATGTAAGTAGTAGGAATAAATTCATCCGACTAAATGGAACCCCATAACAACTAGTATCAACCATCTTTGCAATGAATAAACTATTGTTACTGAAAATAATACTTTTCAAATCAGCCAACCTTCCATTTCAACCTCACTGAAATCCAACATCTTACCAGACTTGTTATAAACAATCCTTGAAGACACTGAGAAATGTTCGTAAAACCTAGCATGCACCAAAGAATATTAATAATGTCTACTAGGTTACGCCTACCAGCTTTCTGTTAGTTTGACCTATTGGTTGTAGAGTGGAAAGCTCGAGTAGAATACTCATGTGCAGGATTCAAATTCTATATGTTTCAACTTTTCCTGGAAACCAATTTAATTTACTCGTCAGCAAGGAAATAAAGAATAGAATTAGTTATCGGACGATAACCCAAATCACAATTCACTTTATATCTTAGCCACCTAAAATATCAGAACAAAGTGAATAAAGCTACCGACTACCAAATAAGTTTTAGTTCGCCACTCAACCAAAGATACAATAAAAATACTTAATAAGCTTCTTCTTTTTTTGGATGATTTTTTGAAGTGATTCAAGGATGAACCGCCGAAACTTGAGAGATTGACAGAGCTACCTTTCCATTGCTTCGAAACGGGTTCAACAAGTGAAATAAATCCAATTTTGAGAAACAGTCGCATTCAGTAACATACTGATGCAACAGAAAAAGTTCACATTAAACACAAATTATGGTGATAAGCCTACCAAGAGAGTCTCAACAAGTCCATGACTGCAGTGTAGACCTATCAACATACATTAAAGTTCACAGTCCTTCAAAACGGACTCATATCAGCTAAAGAATCATTGGAACCTGGAAACTGTATAGTTGCTTCGCCCCAATTGGAAAATATGGATGATTAGCTTCCAACCCAGTGCCTAAATGATAATGTGCTTGGTGTGAGACCTAATGGTGCTAGGCTCGATACTAGATGAATTCGGGAACGGATATTACTAAAAAGTCCTATACTACGATCAGACAGTTTTTTCAGTGCTCTTTATTCTTCTACTGATCTTGTAGCTGAATTCAATTCGTGACGAAAACGGCCTTTATATCAGATGATTCTCCGTAAACTACACAGATATATATATATATATATATATATATATATATATATATATATATAAACACATTACTGAGACACCTTAATTTGACATAGAAGAAGAATAGTGAATAGATCCTACGAATCTAGTAGCTTAAGTACCTCAGTACCTTAAGTACTTCAATAACTCAGTGTTAATAAATGCAGGATAAAAACATGACATTTTGACGTAAAATGAACTTACACACTTCGATTGAAAATAAGCACAGAATTGTGGGAGTTCATAGACTAAATTAAATGTAACCGGATACCAATCGATGGAAAGTTTTTTATCTATGCAATCGTCATTCGATTCACAGAAATGTTCGCATTCGTCTTTCGCTAGACTGGCTGCTAAACTGGCCAGTAGATCTTTAACAGTAAGAATATTTTCACCAGGGAATTGGTTAATATATGAATTTGGACTGTCTATAGATAAACGTCTAGACAAGAAAAAAAACCAAGAAGAAATAATATAGGAATAATCAATTGGTCACTGGAAGGTAACCAACTTCATATTGTCTAGTCCAAAGTGCTGATCAAATTCTATCGATCACTTTCCAAAGTGATCACCAGGCTAGTTGACTCAACATGACGATGCACTTTGATAGGTGCTAGTTGGATAGAGGCAATCGGTAGGATACCCTGAACCTAGGTTTCGTGCTTTTTGGCACTCGTCAGCAAGGTGTATCTCCAACCTCTGCAGAACTGATGTCCCGCCTGAGATTCAAAACCATATCAACCAGTGCCGCAGTCAGATACATTACCACTGAGCCATTCGGGCCACAACTTACCTCGTGGAGGACTGGATTACCCATACTGATTGGTCACTGGAGAGTAGCCAACTTCATATTACCAAAACTAAAGACATTGCTACTTTTTAGACTTATACATAATCAACAGAAGGTTACGAAACTGAATTCTGCATTGGCTGGAGTCGAGCACCAAAAAGATGTCAGCGGACTTAAAAGGATATACTTTCCAAGGATTATAAATTAATGCCTAACACTTTAATTAAGACTGAATCGTCCATCCGGCAAATTACCTTTTGAAGACAGAATATTCGAGTGAATCTGTTCCCGGATAATATAAAAAATCATACTATGGATATTCGACCTGGACAAATTCAATTCCGTCAGAGTCACAAAGAAAATTGAAGAACATGATTACCTAGAAATATGAACTGTTCAGATGTTTATTGGGTAGACATAGTTTACGACATAAAATGTCCAAATCTACAGGATGAAAAATCTATGTATTACTAATTAGCTTTTAATGAATTTTATTCAATTTCAATTAGTGAAGAAAACCACCTTGAAAAATAGTAGAAAACAATTTTTCCCTGAATAAACACTGAATATACGAACCAATGGCTATGACAAAGTAAAGTATGAATTGTATAGATGGAAGGACTATCTTACGTCTCTATTCATAATACTTTCTAATCAAAACTTTCTTAATATACTACGGAGTGATAGAAGTAAGAGAACGCAGACTATTAATTTACAGTCAAGTGAACAGAATTGTGACATGTTCCTTAGACGAACTAGCAGTTCAAGGTTCGATCTCTTGTGAGTGCGCGTTGCTGAGAAGTCTCACACTATGACGAAATAGCTGTCAGATGCTTTCAGGCTTAGAAAGATTCTTTAGCTGATGTCAACCCATAATGAAAAGTACTTCAAAATAAATTCTTGCTATTTTTCACTGCAGATCTTATAGGTCTATTCAATTTCAAAAGCGATAGACACCTCTCTGCAGATTCGTTTAATTTTCATTTCTTTAAAACAATTATTAACCCTACAGTTGTATAGTTTACTCGATTCACCTCACGATTTTTGCTTTGGGTGCTAATTCACAATGTTTTGTGTTCACCAACGAATTAACTCGCTGTCGGTCTGCATATTGGTCTGCTTCGACTTCTTAGCGTTGTTAACGATTTATTCAGTTTATAATTTTTGAAGTACTTTAAAGAACAAGCACACAAGTCAGACACAAATGTCGTGGGGTTTAAGTGAAGACAATCCTAAATTGATTAGTAAAAGCAAAAATGTCGTTTAATGACCTCGGTTAACAACTGTATATCATTAAATAGAATATTATTATCCCATTGTTATATTATGTTATAATATTATTTTGGGTTTTCCTCACGATTTAGACAGAGATCAAAGTAGAATCTTGCACAAAAATGCACTGGTTTAAATTGTTACACTCCACAACAGCATGAGGAAAACAGGTAGATGGAAAAAAATTGATATTACAGTAGGCAAGTCCATGGGAAGAGGGAGAATCACTTTTTAAATAAGGTCTTGTGAAAGTGTCCAAATTTTTGAAAACATCAAAGGGTGAATTCATCTGCGCCACTGTAGCCGACTTTTAAGCATCCCACCAAGTCTCCAACTACTATTTTCTGTGATCTCGAGGACGCTGGTCAGGTAGTCTACACCTTCCTACACACCTCAGACTAACTGTCAGGAACTTTTCAGAGTGACGTCATGTCTTGGTCTGGCCACCTTGAGCCTTATTCCAACCCAATCCTACTTCATCTAACATGCGAAGTCGAGGTAGGCTATGGCTCAGCATGCGGGACACATGCCCAAGCCAACTCAGTTACTGAAGGTTTACAACCTAATCGACTGACCTATCTTCTTTGTCTAGTACTTTTCTTCCGCATTGCTCACACGATGATCCCACTATATGTGAGAAATGCTACGTAGACACCTATAGTCAAAACCTGCAGTCTGTTCATACCTTCAATTTACAACGGCTGCATTTTACAGCCGCATAATTAGATACAGTGAACTAGAGCACAGTATACTTTTTCTTCAATAAGTAGTCGACCAACTCGTCTGCGTCCCAGTTAAAGCAAGTTAGTAAGTAGCAAACTGACCTTCCGAATCCTGACTGAGATTTCGTCAGCAACGAACCCCTTCAGGCTGATACCACTTCGCAAGCGTATCAAACGGTCAGCAAGATATAAGTTACAGTATCGCGTTGCGAAATATACTGCATGACACAATCACAAGTCAGTAGTCCACTAGATAGTTCTCCGAACCATTAGTCTGTCTGGGTTTTAAAGACTGTCATAAACCGGATGTGCTCAACCAGACTCATAAGAGTGGCAATATATGCCTTTATAACTCGATCACGATATGGGATTTTCGATCTATCAACCAAACATTCAGATATATTAAACCGTTTCATAATATCACTGAGATCAAATCTTTCCATATGAAAACTGATTAAGGGGTCGAGGTTCGGATAAACATAGGATTGATTTCATGAAATTTTACTCAGACTTTTCAGTCGGCTGCTAATTCGGTGTTACAGCAAAATATCAGTGGTAAAAGGCAAACCCAAGTTCCACAACCAAAATCATAGTCCCAGTAACTATTTTAACCTCAACGCCTATCACCATCTGTCGAGAAATATAACCACCTTAAGTCCACAAATCGATTTTCATTACAAATGAGCTTGAAATCCCACATTGTTTGGTTTTAAGACTGAGTCAATAAATCCATATTTAACCTATCTTTTTCTTGCATAAATCCTCTGATATCGCCATCAATTGCAGACAGATACTATTTGGTAATGGTTAGTAGTGAAGACCAAGATGCCTTTATTACCCTCTTTTTGACAAATAAACTGGATTAGTCTCGACTTCATATCCTGTTCCCACTGAGAATTAAAGCTATCGTCCGTTACTCTAAATACCAGGTAATTAACCATTTATCAACCCGGTTTTAACAATCGCCTCTTGTTTAACGGGTGTAATTGGTTACCAAAAACTTGAATCTCTGGTTGTTAACTTACATAACTATTTGAATTGATAGGTAGTGAATTAAACCTCGATGGGGTTTAAGAACATTCACATAACGAATCCCAAACTGTATAAAATGTCAATCACTATACAATAATTTCAAATTACTTAGTTTCACTTACTCAAATTCTTTAAAATGTGTATGCATCCATATAATATCAGCATTATCCGGTGAATCAACAAAGGTAAACTGTGAATGAGTTAAATACTTCCTAACTTGCTCCAAATCCGCATAAACAGATAGGCATTCACGTTTTACTGGTTCAACAGCTTGGGATACAGGTAGTGTTTCTTGCACTCGATGAGACTATAATAAGGAAAAGAGGGGAACGCTTTCAAGATCCCTTGCGCTACTAACATTTTTGCTTCTTTTTAGCATAGTTTAATATAAGCAAATAATTCTCACTTATCAAATAATATTGAGTTGAGGTTTCACATCCTTCAAGAGTAGCCCACTAAGTACTATTAGTCTTCACAGAAAATGGATTTTACCAAATGATTTTCAGATGAAATCGTACATAGTTATTCACATTTTTCAACCAGCATAATGGCTGTTAATTGCGTTGAAATACATGTCTCAAGCTAATTATGAGGACGCAGTCCCTCAACAGACCAGACGCTGGTGATTTCGAACTGTTCTCTACAGACTGAGCTTTGAGAAGCAAATAAACTGTGGCAAATAACTCCCGCATGTCATGTCAGTGCATTATTTGCCCGTCAGACCAAGGAAATGAAGAGGATGTTGTAATTTCATCAGTGATAATCGACCAACATTTATTACTTGGTGAAGTGAACTTATTACGCTATTCATACAATATGAGTACATATAAAAAGCCTTTTAAAAGACATCCATTTGGATAAACTTGGTTCTTTCTAATTTGATACGTAAAATTTGTTTGATACTTTGTAAATCTAACCAGAAATGTATTTTAGCTCAAAATACCACACAAAACAAGTAACTGATAATTACACGACAAAATAAAGATAGAGGACTGGGTTTTCAAAAGACTGCCTACCTTCTCAACGAGAAACGTTAACACTAGTTGAAATGACCAAGATATAAATTTAACCACCACCTCTGCAGCACTACATGGTAGCTGATATACCTACAATGGTGCTCATAATCTATTCACCGCACAGGTTGTGAATAGCTTATGTCTTACACCATTCTGATTGACTTCGTTGTAATTGAACTCAAACATTTCGACTCGCATTTCTCTATTTCTCATGTCAACAATATCGACAAAAAGTCGTAAATAATAATGTGAAAATCTTTCAAGTAATAATATATAATATAATTTTGAATCACATAACTTACAGTGAAAAACTCATCTGTTAGTATATACGTATGTTCAATAGGTTGGCTAGAAAAATCTGCTGGTTGCCAGGGCAGCAGATAATAAGGTCGTAATTTAGCATCTTTTATATGTTCTATGTAATCGATCGTTACACTATCTAGATAAAAGAAACAAAAGTAAAAGACAATGCCTAGACACATAGGTTGTTGGAAGTATCTATCATTAAAAAAAGATAAAGTATGTCAAACTGAAGATAGCATCTTTTCGATGTTAGGCGTTTTAAGTGAATTAGCATGAGGTTATGCTTTACGGAGGTTTCGACGTTCGATTACAGATGAAAAAGGTCTAGACCGAGAGGAAACGCATATATTACTAGAGACTTTAACCTGCATCATACAACGATGGAGTCGATATCCTTACCACCAAAGTATCTAGATTTGAAAATTCAACACCAAACGCAATGTGTCACAGTTTTGCGTCACTTAGTTTAATGACCTGTGCACTTTGAGCGGTGGTTAGAATTCGAAAGTTACATCGTTTATCATCCAGTCGTTCATTTTTGTCCAATAGCCTGTTACGAAATGATAGACACACAAATCAAAAAGCCAGAGGACGAGAGCATGCGCGACAATCTACTGTGCAACAGTTATTCACTTCGATAAAGAAATTATCCTGTAACGATATATTTGATACAACCAAGGAGATTGTCAAAGTCACCAACTAGAATACACATACTCCCTATTGTCGATGAAAGTTACGCCACGTCAACCACCAAAAGAAACTGAAAATCTCAACCAATGAATCCTAATCCATGATCTATGACCTTAATGTTTCGATTCTACGGATCTGGCTACGAAGCAAGTAATGAAAATAACAAGTGAACGGATATGAAACTTATATAATATCGACAAACTGGTTTATCAGAGATAGGTTACATACAACTTACGATCATATGTACATCTTTGCACTTGGGCATGAGCGACATCTACTTCGTAGGGACTGATTATAAAACCTAATTATGCGAACATCTATAAATAGTGTTAAGTTCGAACGTGCTATACGCTAGTTGAAAGCAAAATGTTTAAGTCAATCCTCCTGCAACCTCACACTTATGAATTATTGAATTTATCCAAAGCGGATAATCAGTGGTTATTTTTTCTGTTACTACCCGAAAGTTAATTTAAAAATGCGCTTTCCACTTTAACTGACATCAAAGTAGTAGCCCATAATTTTTTCCCGAGTTTACTCCTTACATCTTGTCCTCTAATTGAGAAGTCTTGTGCCTAGTGAACTGTTCAGTGTGTCGCTTCCCTAATACAGTTCATTTAGCAACAAAAAACAATGTATATCCCGTTTACTCACACTGCTCATAGAAACTAACTTAAATATCAATAAGCTTCCTGTCGGAAACCATTCAATCATTACTCCAGGACATTACACTTTTGTCAAACAAGTGCTAGAGCCAATTAACAGTAGCATCAGTCCAAGTAAACAAGTACAGGTACATCCAGAATACTTGCAATCTAATTTTACCCTCATGTATGAGGAGCATATGCTGAGTTTCGTAACATCTTCTCAGTGCCATGAATGATTGTATACCCCAAGATTTACCAACAGATTACTGGAGACAACCAAGTGGGAATTTTCGAATTTGGAATAAGTTACCTTTGATCCTTAGTGGCAAGAAATGTCTCCATCCTGTTGTCTCTGTTTGAGGTTATAGCACGCACCACTCAGGACTTCAATAGAAAATAATAGTGATTTATTGTTCGAGACCTTTTTACATTAAAAACTCCTGCATATCATAACTGTTCAGTACCTCAGCAAAACAATAAACGTCAGCTGTCTTTAGAGGATTTCAAGGCAGCCATTAATTATGCAGTCAAGTAGATAATAATCTGAAATGAAATACCCAGTAATTCTCAGTATCAGTATTTAGAACTGCATACAACAAATAATATCGATGGAAGCGATAACAATACTGGAAAAGTGGTTGATATGATGCTTACCACCTTCCTGAAGGTCTTTGATAGGCCAGAACACAGAATAACACACGTTACGTGGCACATAGTAAAACGGTACCATACGGGCTGTGAAAAGTACAGACAAAAAGTGCATGCATAAACTAACTTAGTGAGAACATCTCTTAATACTGAATAAAACTGCTTTAATACACATATTAATGGATTTTTTACCACACGGTTGTCATTATGAAGGACTACAAGCATATCTACACGAATAAGCGTCAAAGTTGCAGTAAAATGATGCTCTTTCCACCTTGACAGCTAAAACGAAAGTTACTGGCATTTGAAGAGATTACCAAACATAAGCACGTAAGCGTTGTAAACAGTTCACTTAGAACTATTAGTGATCAAGCACACGGCAGATGACATTAGTAACAAACTGGGTATAACTTTGTATGTGTCTACGTTGTCCCAATTCAAATGTTTGCATTCAGACGGAAGATGACGATTAGGAAGACAAAGAAATAAAGACAATATCAGACATGGTAGAAAACCCTACTACGAGAAAATGTAGAAAAAGAAGATAGGAATATGTGGTATAGCAATGTAAATGAAAATCCACATGAATACAACTTCACCACAGCGTTTATATTTTGAATCATCTGTTTTGGTAGGCTTTTGGACGTTAATCAAGAAACTTATACTAGATTGTACAGCTGGAAATGAGTGTTAGTGTAGCTTTTGAATTAGGAGGTGTAAGAAAATTTTCCACCAATTCCCATTCGCATAAACTGACTTTTCTTTCTTACCTAATATTCTACATGCAGCCATTAAATTCTTCACATGGTGGTCCCTTAAACACGAGTAGTGCTAAAAAAGCAATAACAATTGCATAATTGAAAACTTCTCAGTAGTTAGTAATCGAAAAGGTCCTTGATAAGACCATAATATCACAACTTGGGATTTACAAGAAACAAACGAATGATAATCATAAAAATCTATATTTTAAACGGATTAAACTAAAGATAAATGAAACTATTACAATGGGGGATTCATCACTTTCGCTAGCACAGATATAGTTTGTCGACTAGACTTGCACAAACTCCTGACACTTCAAGCAGTGGTTTACCTACACATATTTACCCCTGTATTGGAAAAAGAATATTTACGCCTTACGTATACAGTATTCGATTGAGAAATGTTAGAATTCATAAACGTGGCAACTTCTAATCTCTTTTCGTTCGTCGTTTCTTTTTAAACCTGTTACGAAAAGTAAATAGTTTCCACGAGAGAAAACCTTTTACAGATACTGAATACTGAACTTCAAGCCTATCTAAACGCTATATTCACCTTCACAATAAAAGTGTTTGAGCTGCTACAAAAAGACTGAGTACAAAGGAAACGTTAGTCAGAATAAGATAAAAGGTAATTTTAGACTGAAAAATACATTTCGCATCAATACTCTCTCCCTTGATGTCACCTAACAGTGAAACTGAAAACATTCGTCTACTCATATCTAAAATCTGCTACTATTTAGATGAACTGGTTTTCTAATGTGCGTCTTTTAACTTGAACTCAAACACAGCATGCATTGCTGAGAATATCATAACAACAGATGACACTTCTTTGATCAAGGGTATTGTTTTTATTGCTGGAAGTTCTTTACCTGGTTGCTTCAATTTTATCAACTAAACTAGTGAGTGGTCCTGTATCAATTGCATACACCTTTAGTAGCGTAATTTTTCATAAATTACTGAGATTATCCTATCTGCCCTGTGTACTTACTCATGGTCAATTTTGTCAGCAGCTGACCAGCCATGACTTACACAGATAAAACAAGTACTAACATTCAGATAGTTGCCTTTTTGGTGTAGTCAGCATCTTTTTGTACTGGACATATTCTTTTAATGCGGCCGCTAAACGACTCTTATCGGTTTATTATTTTTAATTGTCATGGTGAATGCAACAAATTTTCCCTTAACAAGTGCCATAATTATTCAAAGCTGTTTCCCTAACACTTTAGTCATGTATGTACATACAGTAATGATTTTAGAACAATATTAATATTGATTTCTTTTTGGTAGTCGCTAGCAGTAGAAACTAAGATGCACGTTTCGTCCTATTTGGGATTTTGCAACTGGATATACATGCATTCCAGCAAGTAAATGAATTGTCGGGTAATATTGAACCACCCATACAGAAGCCTACATACCAACAGAGGCCGATCAATTCGGCATAATTTAAAAACCATGCAGAAACTACAAGTATCAACATATCTTGTTACTGTTGTATTGAGTTCCTAAAGCTCACGTTAGTCACTTTCGCCGGATTTAACTTGACTTTGCATTCCGTAGTTAAGAGATTCTGACTCATGAATCATTTGTGAGGATGCGTATACGCTACCATGAACCATTTCTTGATAAATACATCAATTTGACTCAAACAAAATGAGATAATCAGCTCTAATAACTGATTCATTTTATTTTTTGATATATCTTAAAAACTAAGTTTCCCATGCAATTACAAAGCTTAGTTGGCTTACTCAATTAGTGTTTTCATTCTTGCTTAAATATTCGTTGTTACTGGACAAGTTGCTGATAATCATATTACTTTGTACTACATGCTGTGGCTTGTTAATCAATCATTCTATCTTCTGATTTCAGTTCAGTGTGAACTGGTAAGCTTCCATCAGAGGCAAAACAAAATCAACGTAGAACGTTGTACACAAGTGCATCGGTTCAATCTGCCACACTTCACAGTAATATAAAAAGAAAAACTGGATAGAAAGCGACACTTCAAAGCAGACAAAGGTGCAAGGGAGGCGAGGGAACTTGAAAATGAAGATTAGTCAAGACATTCAAACTATAGAAGACGTTAGAGAATGAATATATCTCTTTCATTAGTCACTCAGCATCAGTGCACAATAATCTACTGTATCTGTATTTGTGCCCACGTCCAATGTGACTACATAACACATGACTTATCACTGATATTTTAATCTTTTATTTTATGCCACTGAAAGGTACTAAAACAAATCTGTATATGCAAGTGCACCAATGTGTTTCATGAATAGATATTAATTGCTCTGTTGATTGCATAAAATTACGTTTGTGCACCGGGTTGTGAGACAACCATTCCATAAGAGCTGATAAAACTATTTAGTTGATTAGGCATCAGGAGTCTGAGCGGGATTTGAAACTATAACATACATCGATTAAAGTCTACCGCGCGATCTAATTAACAGTAACACTACTTATTGCACGAATACTACTGAGTTGTGTTAGGAAATATGGTAATTTCACAAAAATTTTCGATCGAAAAATATTTATAAGTAACATGTGTATACCTGTCGGTTCATCCGAATGCTGAATACGCGAACCAACCTCATCTAGCACATACCACATTAAGTGTTGCAATTCAGGTACTTGTGACAACATGGCAATGTTCTGTCGTGCTGATAATTTGTAATGTCGACAAAATCTGTGGAAAAAAAATTGGAAAAGGTAAAAAAGAGCGGAATAGACAACTAAGTGTTGATAACAGGAACAATAATATGCGAACAAACAACGGATATGAATTCCACAGGATCTGGAATAACTGTTTCTTACTCAAAACTCTCACACTTCACATCCGTAAATACAACAGAAGTCTACGAAAAGCAAGGAAATACAGATACTGCTGTCCAGTGTTGCTAAAAGTCATGAGAGAAGAGATTAAAATATCACGTTACAGACAAAACATAAGGTAAGGGAATGCATCTGCTTAAATATTGCTGATACTGGTTGCTAAGACATCCGCATACACCGATAATTTTCTCAATAGCACAACTCATGAAACCCAAACTTTAAACGCGGCTCAGACCGAAGGCCAGAGACTCGACGGATCGACGCTGTCTTAGTCTGGTCATAAACAGTTTATCCCAATCAATACTGACAAGAATCAACACAAAAAACCATTTTTTAAAATACTTACTTCCATGTTTTTTCACAAATCTTCAAGGCAATATCTTCATTTCGTTGATTTACAGTACTTATCTCCATTAGGGCAGCCATTCGTTCAAGGAGACTAGGAAGTTGAAGTATGCCCTGTTTCATAAACTCTACATCAAAAGTCCATGCATGATCAACAATAAATATACTGAAATGTAATGTAGCTAAAATAAATAACATCTCCCTCATATTTGACATACTTATTAGTATCTGATGCTAACATTTGTTCACTACTAACTACAATATTCCAGTCTCGGTTAGTAGTCGAGTCTTCATTATTAAATTCTTCATCATTTGCATACTCAATTTGCTGCATCATCACACATGAGCCTGCATCATAAATCTAAGAAATTCATTACAATAAGAATTATGTGTAAATACACATTCATACCTCATGTAAAAGCTTTTCATGTAATTTACGCCAATAACAGCTTGGTATTCCACTTGCTCTGAGCTGATCATCATGCAGCTTCAAGAATTCTTTGAAATCAGGCTGAGCAATACCGTTCATTGGAACTCTGAAGTGATTTACGTTGGAAAAAATTACAAAAACACGATGACATTACGAACAAACTGTTGAAATGGATTTGTTAGAACTCGACTAGTTTCCTAGTGCACATCACTTGTCATGCATAGTATGCGCAGTATATTGTGTTCTAATTCATGGTTGAGGCCATTTTTAAAATCAGACATGAAAGAACTGCAAAATAATTGCTGCTCAAGGCCCTTAAAACATTTTTCTGTGGTGATGTCATCGGTTAAGTGATACCCAGGTATATGTATGAAAATTAAGTCAGTAGTTGTCAGAACTCACAAACAGAGAAAATGCTGTGAGTGCGCAGTCACTATATGAATGTGATATATCGGGCGTATAATATTCCTTGATTTTACTATTACGGTGAACCCTATACTAAACAGCTAAGCTGGTCGACAAAGACTAATCACTCAATATTAAAATTAGACCTAGCAATACTGCGTAACAGTTCAAACTGATACACCTCACATACAAGGTAGCAAGGTAAAAGATGGAGAAATAAGGAAGTAGTCAAAAGTAGTAGAAAGTCGTGAAAAGATAACTAGAAAGAATGAAACTAGTGAAATTCAGCATGATGATTAAGATGATGTGAGGATGCATTTCCCCCAGTGAGACCAAATCTGACCAATAAGTTCCCATTGACCATTCAAGCGAATCCTTCATACCTAGATAACCAGTGTGTGCCCAACTCCCAAACTATCATTAATATTTTTATCAAACGTGTTTGTCGAAGGTTATTTGGTACAAACTATTATTGTTTTTTTAATTCCCCAACTCAAGTAGTGTTACTCCGAGGAAAGTGTCTGGGCTTTTCAAGGGAGATACTGGACGTTTTAAAACGGACCCATTGGCTTCATTGAACTTTTGTACGCAAAGTTTCCAAGGCGCGCCGGAGAAATTTCTCAGCTGCGTTAAGTACAACCTGGAGGACAATTGAGAAGTTTGTAATTGTTAGGAAAATCACGTAGCTCACTGCTAATTCTGGACAAAAATAATAAACATGCTTAACTGTGATCCCAAGCTTTGAAATTTAGTTCCAAAATAAAATTTTAAGTCCAAAGCAATTTGATGTTGTCCAAAGAAATCTTCAGGACATTTCGGTAGAGGATGAGAATTCAATGCAAATGGGAAGCCTCTACAGAAATGTTGAACAAACGTAACGATCAAGTCGTATTTTCCTCAGTCCTGATGAAATCACACGTCGCTCCCTCAAAAATAAGCACGATAAACCTGAATTATATGCGATTTCTCCAAAGTTATGCCTTGTAGTCGTTTATCAGCTGTAGACTTTTGATACACCAAGTGCTTTAATCACTCGTTGTCGCCACTGTATCTAAGAAGCTACACATGGCAAAAGGTCAGTCAAACCTCGATTCAGGTCCAAGAAATAAAAACAATTAAGAGATTAATAAGAACAAGTTGGTAGGTTTATGTCCAGCCCTTAGGAACGTTGGTGAAAAGCGGTGAATAGATGAGTGTCTAAGTTTGACAGTAGTTGTCCACTCACCCTGCACAAAAATCAGAGAAAAAAGCGAACCAATTACTCAGAAAGCAAGGACAATGTGCTTGCTTTTTTGGAGAACACACAATCAGTAACGAAAAAATACGGTGGTCGAGAAATGAAAAATAAAAAGATGAGTAAGATCTCAAAAGTGTTAAGTAGATGTTGCAAACTCAACCTACCTACCAACCGGGAGACCTTCGGACTTACTTGTGTGCCGATTAACACTCTCATTACACTCACAGACCAAGATGCCAGCAGATGATGAGGTATCCCGGCGGAAAGAAAGTGTTGATACCAAACACGGTTTCAACCTATCGAATTCGTTTTTAAATGTTACCACTCATGAAAGCTTCCGTAATTTCTCAGTCAGCCAATCGAGTACCACGAGTCAGAAGCGAACCCCCTGTAGTACGACGCTACGTCAAAGACAGAATACCTTAGAGATGATAAGGTGAGATTCTTTTGGATCGGTCTGGATGCCCATGCGTATTACATGATGGCATGAGATACATTCGCCGGACAGAGTGGCATTTAGATGCTTTACGTATCAAACCAGTCTCTCAAGTGCTGAAAACACTTTGTAAGTTGGAGATTCAGTCTTCTTATGCTTCCTTATTCATAAATATAACGTCGATGTCAATTAAACACTTATCAGAGATTAACCCGACCAACACTACTCGCGTCAAGCAATGACCTGAGGGGCTTCTGTCTGACACGAACAGAACAGTCTGAGGCTCGTTTAATTCCATAAGTAATAAAAGTACAGTCGACCAAAGATCTATCAGTCAAACCTCGAAAAGATAGTGCGCAGAAGCAGTCTTTCTTTGAAAAAAATGAGCACCACATTCAGCACCTAGAGTTGTATCCATTCGTAGAAATTGAGTCACTACTTTTTATGAGTGCATTCGAACATCGTCAGAACGATGAAGTAAAGGGTACGCCAATCTGCCGATTGGCGTACGAGTGCAGCTGCATTCGTAGTACATCACATACTATGCCCTGTAACCACGATTAGGGATCGATATAGGTTTTAAAAGGCAGTTGCGGCTTTAGAGCATGATTATAATAGTCAATATATCGTTTAATGTCTTTATGTTCCCACACAACAATATCATTGAAAACGTCACGGAGAAATGCGTGTATGTCGATTGCTTAGTAAGCATAGAGAAGTGTGAACACTTTTACCAAAAATAAGAAATCGCGAAGAGTTGTTACAGTACGATGGGAAGATAAAATAATCGGAAAATTGATATCGGAAAGTGATTGTGTGATTTTTAAAAAGTGTCACAACTCAGAAAGTAACGTATATACTAAGGCGCCCGCCTTGGGATGCACCCCCCTCCCACATTCAATAATTGCAATCAAGTATAGTCAACTGTAAGTTTTTGCACTCCCATGCTCCTACTTGAAGTTAAGTTGTTTTTATTCCGTTTTACTTTGATGGATCATGCACAACTCTTCCAATATTCAATATTGGTATTGCGTGTGTAGAAAACTGATAGTTTTCTAGTTCCATTTAGTTCTTACGGCTTTATTCGGATTGTTCCTTTCACTCCTACAAAGACGTGGGAATCCCTTCCGCCTTCTTGATTTTAGTTTCGGTGAGGTGGATGTTTTTGGGTTAGTTGGTTGTAATTTGTAATGATTGGGGGGCTACGAGTTGCTGGGATGGTTAGGGGATTATCGTGACTTATCTGTGTAGGTACCTGGCAGATAATAATGAAGTGGTGGTAAATAATGGAAAGAATGAAGAAAAATAAGAGTTAAAAAAGAGAAGAGGAAGGGAGGGGGTAAAGAAGAGAAATAGAAGAGTTGCCCGAAAGCAGAAATAGACAGCGTAGGTTTATTTCCTGGAAAAGAATCAGTAGATAATGTGGGTGCATTAAGGAGCGAGACAGTGAGTGGTGGGTTAGAGGGAGGTGAGGGTGGGCTAGTGAGATTGGTGACTCCCTGAGTACGTCCATGGTAGACTATGCAAAGTGATAACTGTCTGACCGTCTCTTGAATGAGTCGACTGAGGGGGCTATGACAAAATGTTGCGGTAGGGCATTCTATAAAGCACATGCTCTCAGGGAGAAAAGTGGACCTGTGTGTGTTGCTGGCGCCCCAGTTTGCTATCCTGATGGGGTTTCCTGGTGAAGATCGCTGTTTTGCAGGTAAGGTTGATTTATTTATGAGCGATCTTGTGTACCACAATGAGGTCATCCCTCTTCCAGCGATAATCCAAGTTTAATAGGTCCAGGTGTTTAAGCCCTTCAAGAAGTGCTCTCCCCCTCAGCCACACAACTGGTTTTTTCTGCAGTTCTGTGCATTTTTTCAAGGACGTTAGAGTCCCTCTTGAATATTAGAGGGTCACCGTATTGAAGACCTCCAGACCCGGCCGTTCGCGGGATTCGAAAATGGTAAAGAAGTTTGGGGATGAGGGCGCTAAGCTGTCTACACCGAAAAGGCAAAAATGGCTTTCCCTCTGGTTGTCACATCTTTGTGGTTCCAGCCGGTGTTCAAGGAGAAAATGAGCCCTAAATATTTCTTCATGGGCAATCTGGCGATATCACCGGTTGTTCAACATGTACTGGAAGTCGGTCGTAATTGATTCATACCTTCTGATATGCATTACCTTGCACCTTTCCAGGCTAAAGCTCAAGCCATTTTTCGACGATCAGAGTTTGACTTGCTGCAAGTCTTCTTGTAGTGCTGTGTAGTCTGTTTCTTCATTTACTACCTTCCAAATCTTAATGTCGTCAGCAAAGAAGGGGATGGATGATGATATTTTGTGTGGTGGATCACTGACAAGCAGGAGGAACGCAGGTGGTCCTTGGATTGTTTCTTGGGATACCTCTGACGTCGAAGGTCTCTACTCCGACCTTATTCTGTTCACTTTGGCGCAGAACTACCTCCCTTTGACTAGGTCAAGAAATACAACATGTACCAGTTCACTGTTGGCCCAGCTGGATGTCCGGTCTTCCCAGGCTGCAAATTGGCGACACATGGGCGACCACTCCAAAATCTACGCTGAGCGGTGTGTACAGTGTTTCCTCTACCGAGAAAATCCCGGATAGTGTCAGCCACCAGGCTTTCTAACACTTTCGACACTATAGGGAGTAGAGCGATTAGCCTTTAGCTGCCAGGGCTTTTGCTGTCTCCTCCCTTCAAGATGAATGACAATATGGTGGGGTTCGCACGACTCTGCTGAGTGCCTGAAAAGGTTGCGGATTGGCTACGCAAGCACCTCGTCGCAGTTTTTTAGGTTCGCAGCTTTAGGTTATCGGAGCCAGGAGACTTGCCTAGACAGTGCCTCTGACACTTTTTTCTCCGTGATTGAGATGCTGTAGAGGTATTTGTTATTTATGACCTGGTCAGTGTCGTAACGAATCGGTGAAGAGTTGGAGTCAGTGCTGAGTTGGACCTGGAAGTGTGAGCTCAGAGGCTCGACAATCTCTAGAGTGTCTAGTACACCCCCCATCAGGTCCCGTGATAAGATTCGCTTTCTTGCTGGCCGACTTCCTTTTCGACATGAAGTGGTACAGATTTTCGGGGCTACTTTGTAGCCTCCCCGCCAGGTTTGTTTGATAGGCGAATCCGTCACTACGCACCCTAGTATTACAACGGCTGCAAATCCTTTTGTAGTTTAAGAAGTCAGGCTCCCTGCGTGATGAACGCCACTTAAACCAGGCCTACCTCCTGCTCCGAATTAGCCCCTTTGTCCCACGCCTTAGCCATGAGGTTCGCGCTGGCGGTCTGTGTGTTGCCTCTGGTACACTATGATTGATGGCCACAGCGATCATTTTCTTCACCTGTATATGGCGTTCGTCCGCTGTGGGATGAGTTCAGTCCACCGGCCTTGATGCATCCACGGGATGGTCCCTCATGGTCTCCTAGTTGGCCCTGTTGTAGCAAGGGAATGTGTTAGGCATCTCCAGTTGCAGGGCCTCCTTAGTAATCATGGATAAAACTATTACTCAGTGGTCACTGAGGCCAAGGAGGGGCTGAATGCATGCATCTTCAATGAGAAGGTCATCGTTCGTCGGAGCGCAGTCGAGGCGTGATGCGTTTCCACCGGGCCCCCAGGGTGTGGAATCACCCACTTTCTTCGAGAGTCCAGCGGTCTTGTTTGCATTCTTCAGCTTCTGACTGAAGAATCTGGTGTGTCAACCCTCTGTCTCCAAGAGGGTGGACGGGGTGCTTAAGCCGCCGGCAATGAATACGGAATCGTGATCTGCGGAGGAGGTCATCAAGATTGCTTTGATGACCATTTCCTCATGTGTAGGGGGGCTGGTGGGTGAGTAATATGTGACTCCGAGCAGGTATTTGGTACGTTAAAGAGTGAAGTAGCACCTGAAAGTCCTGGGAGCCGGATTAGGGCGGTATCGCCCACCACCCTCGGCTTTAGATGAGAGTTCACGTTGAGAGCCACTCTCCTTACTGTTTTGAGTTCTACGTCACTGCGGGAGAGTTCCGTGCCGGTGATATGCATCTTTTCCTCGGAGATGCCCGGTGAGAGCCGAGATTCGGTGGTAAATCTGATGTCAGAATGCTGACGTTCACGCAGTGTACTCATCTCCGCTACTTTCTCTCTTATCCCCTGACGTCGCTGTGCGTATGTGGTAGTGTTCATGGTGGAAGAGGGGGGCTGGTTGTGTATTTTCATGAGAGAGGCACCTACGTGGTTGGGCTCAGAGTCGCTAGTTCGCATAGGACTGGCGTTGCTCCGTCTTTTAGCCCTTTATTTTAAACTTGTGCAGGCTGTGGCAACGGGAGCTTCTTAACTCGGTGTGTCTAACTCGCTGGTCAGTGCCTGTGTGACAGCCACTGACTCCAGAGGTCTTGGCGGTTGCTGTGTCTCCTCTTAGCTCTTGAGTTTTGGCTTACTCTCACAAATGCCTATTGAACCACCTGTACGGTCTTTCCCGTTATACCGCGCTTGTAGAACGTCTGTGAGGGAGGCGTGTGAGTCCAATTGGATGGCGAATTGTCAAGGCGTAGCGGCGGACTTCAGGTGCGTTGGTCTCGGCAGCCTACTGACGCTGTTGGCGGGCGAACTAGTAAGTAAAAAATAAATAAATATTTTGCTCTCAAATTGGGAGTTTAATATGACAGAAGCCAGTTTACAGGCATCCCCAGATTGATAATTGTGGAGAAATCTTCATTAGTTTGGTGGTCCTGAGTGATACAGGGGGTATTGCATCAAGGTCTACCATGTTATCAATAGCAACTGCGGGTTATGAAAAGAACAGAAAAATATCACTCCACAGTAAATACAGATTGCTTATGAGTTTCGATCGTCGCCGCTCACCATTCTTTTTCACGATAAAGTGGCGCCAAAATCACAAAATATTCGACCTTTGCGTTACATGTGACCGAGATGCCTAACTTGGTGGTATAGTTCCGTTAATCGTCAGATAAGAGTTTATTTTAATGTCGGTTCACATGTTTGTAGTATCATTGGCCAACAAAACTCACTTCATCCACTTCGAGTAACAGTAAGTGTTAGCATAACCATATAATCCACGTGAGCATATAAGTTCTCACATTTCCCACTCGTAGTGCGACCTTACTCAGCAATATAGATGTAATCCATCAGGATTAGTCGTTGCTGTACAAAGAAATGAACAGCTGAAGGACTATTATCCAGTGGTGATAGAGTTTTACACATAGAATTCGCATTGAATCATGCACCATTATCAAGGAGGTTTGATGACTGTCAATTGTCTTCTATCAGACGGAGTCAAGCGAGGTGAAGTACTGGAGAAGTTTGTTTGCGAACATGTCTCATTTGAGTTGCTAGGTGAGTGTGCTCCTTAGATTTATTTGTTTATCCAGACATCATCCATAAGGCGTTGGAATGATTGTGTCGAATTCCGAAGACCAAATGGCATACACAGGAAATCAAACAGGCCAAAAGGAGTAATAATGGTCATTTCCGAAGCATATTCCGCTGCCATGGGCATCCGATTATACACTTTGACTGGATCGATTTTGGAGAATATGTTCATCCGCATAGCGTCGCGGCCAAGTCGTAAACGTGAGATATCCGGTAGCATTCCTGTATTGTTTTGGCGCTAAGCCTTCGGTAACCACCGGCTGGACGCCAGTCGTTGCTATCCTTTTTGGGAGCCAAATGCAATGGTGATGCCTAAGGACTACTTGAAGGTCTGATAATGCCCGGTTCGAGGGTGTGGTTGGATTCATTTTTGGCCGTTTTGAGCCTATAAGGGGCTGGATGGCGTGCCTTGGATGCCACACGTGGATCTCTGGTAATGGTGTGATGGATAACATTGCTGGTTATGAGCGGAAGAGTATGCTTCGGTT